CTCGGGAAGTCTGACTTGGCCACGGTAGTACACGCTCTGGTCACATCCCGCCTTGACTACTGCAACGCTCTCTACGTGGGGCTGCCCTTGAAGACGGCCCGGAAGCTTCAGCTAGTCCAGCGCGCGGCAGCCATGTTACTAACAGGAGCGGGACGCAGGGAGCACACAACGCCCTTGTTGTTCCAGCTCCACTGGCTGCCGATCTGCTACCGGGCCCAATTTAAGGTGCTGGTGTTGGCCTACAAAGCCCTAAACGGTTCCGGCCCAAAATACCTTTCTGACCGCATCTCGGCCTATGAGCCCACGAGGACCTTGAGATCGTCTGGGGAGGCCCTTCTCTCGATCCCGCCTGCCTCACAGGCACGTCTGGCGGGGACGAGAGATAGGGCCTTCTCGGTGGTGGCCCCCCGGCTGTGGAACGCCCTCCCTGTAGATATCAGACAGGCGCCCTCCCTGATGGCATTCCGTAAGAGCCTAAAGACATGGTTATTTGAGAAGGCGTTTGACTAAGTGCTACAACAATTGGCAATGACGATCGGAACGGAATATGGATAACGAGTTTGGTTTATGATTCTACGATGAGACGGCGCGGATGATTTAGTGTAATTGTATTATTGATAGTTATGTTGTTATGTTGATTTTGTTGTGATATTGCCTATTGTAAACTGTTTTTATGTGTTGTACACCGCCGTGAGTCGCCCTAGAGCTGAGAACGGCGGTCAACAAATGCAGTAAATAAATAAATAATAATAAAATAAGGCCTACCTCACACTGTGGGGCCTCTCACAGACTAAGGCCTACCTCACACTTCTCTCTCACAGACTAAGGCCTATCCTCACACAAAGGCTTCTCTCACAGACTAAGGCCTACCTCACAATGTGAGGCCTCTCACAGACTAAGGCCTACCTCACCTTCTCTCTCACAGACTAAGGCCTATCCTCACACAGAGGCTTCTCTCACAGACTAAGGCCTACCTCACAATGTGAGGCCTCTCACAGACTAAGGCCTACCTCACCTTCTCTCTCACAGATTAAGGCCTATCCTCACACAGAGGCTTCTCTCACAGACTAAGGCCTACCTCACACTGTGAGGCCTTCTCTCAGACTGAGACCTTTCTCCCACTGAGGTTTACCTTAGACCGGCTGCTACTACGCTTCAGGCACACCTGCTTATATTGAACTGCAGCTTTTGCTGAGTCATTGCATTCATTTCATCATTTCAGTGCATGACTCACATTTTTGTCATTAAAAATACCTAGTTAATTTTAAATATTTCTGACAAGTTTTTCGGTCTGTACGGCCAGGTTCCAGTAGCATTCTTTCCTGACATTCCACCTGCATCTGTGAATAATGGCATCTTCAGAGGTTCTGTTGACAGTGAAGCAAGTGGAGTGTCTGTGAAATGATGTCCAGGGTGGGAGAAAGGACCCTTGTCTGTTTAAACCCTTGTGTCAGCTCCACTGGCTGCCGGTTCAGTTCCGAGCCCAATTCGAGGTGCTGGTTTTGACCTACAAAACCCTGTACGGTTCCAGTCCAGTGTATCTGTCTGAACGTATCTCCTTCTACGTCCCACCTCGGAGTTTGAGATCATCTGGGGAGGCCCTGCTCTCGACCCCACCACTCTCACAAGCGAGGCTGGTGGGGACGAGGAGCAGGGCTTTCTCCATGGTGGCTCCTCACCTGTGGAACTCAATCCCAGGGGAAATCAGGGCATCATCATCCTTCCTCTCCTTCAGGAGGAAGGTAAAGACGTGGTTGTGGGACCAGGCCTTTGGGCAATCTGACAACTAGATAAAACAATCAGACGAGTAAGACTGACAGGACGGACAATGTGGAGTTGAAAGTGGAAATATGAGATAGCAAACGCTGACCGTTTACGAAGAGGAATTGGGTTTGTATTGGTTTTATTGATTGTATTGGTTTTATGGTTGTATTGCAGGAATTGTTGTTTAACTGTGAATTGATGCTATATTGTTTTACAACTGTTATGTGATGCGGTCATCGAATTGTGCCTTTGCTTTTGTAAGCCGCTCTGAGTCCCCTTCGGGGTGAGAAGGGCGGGGTAGAAGAAACCGAAATAAAATAATAATAAATAAATAATAATCAATTAAATCCAGTGTGAATGTTGCAATTAGCAAGCTTGCAGTCCAAAACTTCAACTCTTTCTTTCTCCCTCCCGCCCCTCACAGGCTACCGCGTCTACCAGGTGGACGGCCCCTACCCAGGTGGCTCCTTCTTAGTGTTGGACCACGAGACCTTCATCCTGAACCTGACGGAGGCCAACGTCCCGGGGTCGCGGCCGGAGTGGCGCAGGTTCTATGGGGCCCGGGAGGCCTACGGCCTGCACACCGCCTTCCCGTCCGAGTGGGACCAGCTGCTGAAGCGCTTTGAGGTGGAGGAGCCACTCTTCCGGCGCTTCTGGTTCCTGATGTATAAGGGTCACCCACCCCGGGAACCCTGCGAGGCGCCCTGCAAGGCGGCCCTGCTCTGCGCCCTCCGCACCGGCCGCGCCGACGACCCCCAGCTCTGCCCCACGCAGGTCCAGGCGCTCCCCTTCCCCCAGATCCAGGCACTCTGGCGGCGCAAGCGCTTCTGCTAGCCTCGCCGGGCACGGACCCTGTCTATCCACAGAAGAGGAGGAGGAGGAGGGACTCCTGTGATGCTTTGCTGGACCTCAAGTCACTCTCTTCTGGACCTCAATTTACACTTGCAAAGGGTTTGGGACGAGAGAGAGCGCCCCTCCGGCCTCGGGAGGAACGGCAATTGGGGGGACAGAGGGTCCCCCAAAGAAGGAAGGCTGTGGAAGCATCGGGCCATTTCTCTGCGCTGGTTTCCGGCGCAAGGGAGATGGGGCCACTCTCTCCGCTGCCAGACCCCTCCCCATATTCTATCCCACAATATTGGGGTCCTGCACAAAAGCACCCCTTGAAGAGGAAGAGGAAGAGGAGGAGCGGAGAAAGGAGCTGTAGTAGCAGGGGCTTCTGCCCCCAACCCCGTTGTTTTTGCCTTGCTGGCCCTCCAGAGACAGTAGCCCCCTCCTCTCAATATCCCAGTTCTTCCAAGCTCCTCTGTGGGGTCATCAGAGGAAGAAGAGGGTGGCCAGAGGGACCAAGGCCTAGCTGGGGGGCCAAGGGGCAGCCCCTTCCCCTCATATTTATGGACCGTTGAGAGGAGGGGGTGCACACCCAAGACCCCCCCCCCCCCAATATGTCACCTGCCCCTCATTTGCAATAAAGGACTCTTTAATTCTGCCTCAGCAGAACAGCTTCTCTCTTCTTTGGTGGGGAGAGGGTCCGGCTGCTTTTGGGGGTGGGGGGGACGTCTCTTTCCTTAGCTCTCCCTCCTTTCAAAGTCGTTACAACAACCCCAAGTGGGACCAGGAAATACAAAGTGAGGTTTGCAACAAGTTAGAATGGGCCCACTGTTAGTGCAGCGGGTTAAACCGCCGAGCTGCTGAACTTGCTGACCGAAAGGCTGGCGGTTTGTTTGTTTATTTACCATATTTGTATACCGCCATTCTCAGCCCGAAGGCGACTCACAATTGGCAACAAAGAAAACAGTCATAAAATACTGGTAAAAACATTTGTGTAAAAATATTAAAACTGTACAAAGCCATAAGAACATTATCGTGAACGTCTCCTTGTTTGAATCCAAGGAGCAGGGTGAGCTCCCACTGTTAGCCCCAGCTCCTGCCAACCTAGCAGTTTGAAGACATGCAAATGTTTGTTTGTTTACACTATTTCTATCCCACCCATATCAGCCCGAAGGTGAAAACTGTACAAAGCCATAAGAACATTATCATGAACATCTCCTTGTTTGAATCCAAGGAGCGGGGTGAGCTCCTGCTGTTAGCCCCAGCTCTTGCCAACCTAGCAGTTTGAAGACATGCAAATATATATTTATTTACACTATTTCTATCCCGCCCATATCAACCCGAAGGTGAAAACTGTACAAAGCCATAAGAACATTATCGTGAACGTCTCGTTTGAATCCAAGGAGCAGGGTGAGCTCCTGCTGTTAGCCCCAGCTCCTGCCAACCTAGCAGTTTGAAGACATGCAAATGTTTGTTTGTTTACACTATTTCTATCCCGCCCATATCAGCCCGAAGGTGAAAACTGTACAAAGCCATAAGAACATTATCGTGAACGTCTCCTTGTTTGAATCCAAGGAGCAGGGTGAGCTCCCACTGTTAGCCCCAGCTCCTGCCAACCTAGCAGTTTGAAGACATGCAAATATATATTTATTTACACTATTTCTATCCCGCCCATATCAGCCCGAAGGTGAAAACTGTACAAAGCCATAAGAACATTATCATGAACGTCTCCTTGTTTGAATCCAAGGAGCGGGGTGAGCTCCTGCTGTTAGCCCCAGCTCTTGCCAACCTAGCAGTTTGAAGACATGCAACTATTTATTTATATTATTTCTATCCCGCTCATATCAGCCCGAAGGCGACTGAGGGCGGCATACAAAGTCGGCACAGTTCGATGCCATAAAATACATACATTGATAAAAAGCAAAAAAAGAAACATTACAATACATTTAGAAAAATAAAAATAATAATAAAAACTATGAGTAGATCAATAGATACCACTCTGGCGGAAAGGTAGCGGCGCTCCATGCAGTCCTGCCGGTGGCCACATGACCTTGGAGGTGTCTATGGAGAACGCTGGCTCTTCGGCTTAGAAATGGAGGGGAGCACCAGAGTCGGACACGACTAGAACTCAAGTTTACGTGTCCAGTAGAGCTTCGCTCATCCGACACTCCGTGTTAACCAACACCATAATGTGACCGATTGGATATTATTATTATTATTATTATTATTGACACAAAAGCACCATATGTCACAGCAAACGAGATCTCTCTGCTGGATTTCGTATCCCAAAATCACAAGTTGAACCCTTCCCAAGCATCTGGGACTGTGTGATGTGTTTTTGAATGATGTGCACATATCCAAGTCAGGAGGCCTTTTGCAGGTGACAGATCGTGATTTGCTCAATGTTTATGGTTTCCAAGTATTGACTGAGATCTTTTGGTACGGCACCCAGTGCGCCCATCACCACTGGGACCACCTGGACTGGTTGATGCCATCAGAGCCTTTGAGGTCTTGATAGCGGCTGAGTTTTTCCTGTTGTTTTTCCTCAATGCAACTGATGTCGCCCGGAATGGCGACATCAATAATCCAGACTTTTTTCTTTTCCATTATTATTATTATTATTATTATTATTATTATTATTATTATTATTATTATTATATCATTTCCAACTCTCCTTGCACCTGAGCAGATACCCAAAGGCTAAGGCAGCAGATGGGACCCACTGCAGCAGCAGCAACATTATTATTATTATTATTATTATTATTATTATTATTATTATACTGAGACAAGAACAGTATGACACAGCAAATGAGATATATATGCTGGATTTCGTATCACAATCACAAGTCAAACAATCCTCGTATCGTGTAAACACTCCAGTTGCTTCTCGTCATTTCTGCCATCACTTGGGATTGCAACATCGACAATCCATACTTTCCCCCCCCCCCCCATGATCGTGAGGTCAGAAGTCCTCCTCTCACCCCTACCAGTCTCACAAGCTTGTCTTGTGGGTACAAGGGAGAGAGCCTTCTCCTCTGTGGCTCCTCGACTTTGGAACTCTTTGCCTGGAGAGTAGGCCTGGGCAATGCACGGTTCTAAATGGTTCTAAAGTACTTACAAAACTAAAGTTCTGGTGGTGAAAATTTCAAAACTCTCAAAATTATTATAAATGGCAGTTCCTAATTGGTTCTGTCATTTAAAAAAATTTGCCAATAATGAAATAATAATTAAATTTTCAAAGTTTTGTTAAAGTTCTGAAATTTTCACCACCAGAACTTTAGTTTTGTAAGTACATTAGAACCATTTAGAACCATGGATTGCCCAGGCCTACTGGAGAGATCAGGAAAGCCCCTTCACTAGAAATGTTCAAAAAGAACCTTAAAACCTGGATCTTCCGCTGCACCTTTGGTGAGTAGGTGCACAACATGACATTTTGCATCCCTCAACGTTCTTTTTTGCTACTGTGTTTGAATGTTTTTTTGTTTTGTTTTTTTTCTTCAATGTAATTTTGATGATGTTGTTGTTTTTGTTTATGCTTTGATTTTATTGCTGTAATGTGTTGCCCGGGCTTGGCCCCATGTAAGCCATTCCGGGTCCCCACCGGGGAGATGGTGGCGGGGTATAAATAAAGATTATTATTATTATTATTACTACTACTACTACCATTATTATTACTATTACAGTAGAGTTTCGCTTATCCAACATAAACGGGCCGGCAGAACATTGGATAAGTGAAAAGGAATAGCCTATTAAATGTCAAATTATGTTATGATATTACAAATTAGGCACGAAAACATGTTTCACAACAAACTGATGGAAAAAGCAGTTCAATACACGGTAATGTCCTGTCGTAATTACTGTATTTACGAATTTAGCACCAAAACATCGCAATGTATTGAAACATTGGGTGGGAGGCAGACTGCGTTGGATAATACAGAACGTTGGATGAGTGAAGGTCGGATAAACGAGACTCTATTGTATTATTATGATGGTGGTGCCCTGACCTTTCCCTCTCTTCTAGAAGCCCCCCCTTCCGCCAATGGAAATAATTGCCCCCTTCCCAAACTGGTGCGAAACCACAAACTCGCCAGACTCAATGGGAACAGAGTTTATTAATGAATTTAGTACAACACAGAGCTCTCTTCTGCCCCCCCCCTCCCCACCTGCAAGGCCTCAGTCCTTTGATTTGGGGCGGGGGCAAGGCTAGTCAGTGCCTAGGCACAACCCCCCCACCCAAACACCAACAGCAGCAACATCAGCTTCTCTCTCCCCCTCTCAATTCAGTTAGACTAAATGACATTGTGGGGGGAGGGGAGACCCCCCTTTCCTCCAACATGGACCCCCACCCAATAAAACCCTCTTCCCTTGCCTCCTCCCTTCCCCTCCAGCAGCTCCGCAGAGGGAGAGAACGCAGTCATTCCTTCCTCACTCGCTCTGCATAAATACACAACTTCCACACTTGCTTTCACTGAAGGGGGAGGGGCGGAGGGGGGAGCTGCAGTCCGTGAGGGGAGGGGAGAGGTGGGCGTCTGGGGAGGGGTCTCCAAGGGGAGGAGGTCCCCAGAGGGATCGGGGGTCATGGCGTCTGAGCGCCCCCCTGGCGCTTGGGCTTGAGGGTCCCCAGCAGGGTCTGGACGCCCTTCCGGACGGAGGAGCCCACGCGGCGTGCCACCGAGTCCGCAGCTGGAGGGGCCGGCAGGCAGGAGGAGGAGGAGGAGGAGGAAGGGCTGGGGGAGGCCTGGGGGCGGGCGTCCAGGCACTTCTGGTAGCGGAGCTGCAGAGGAACAAAAGATGAAGAGGAGACGTCAACACAGCTTAAGCGGCTGAGGGGGGAGGAGGAAGGGGCCTAAGGCTGTAAAGAATGGTGAGAGTTCATGTCCAAAACACCTGGAGGGCGGAAGTTTGCCCATGCCTGATCTAAATTGATTAGGATAACAAGGGGTAGAAATCAACCAGGAGTGCGATATTTGTAGAACTGTGCGTTTGTAGGCAAGGTTTGTAGAACTGTCTTTGTGTTTGTAGGCGAGGTTTGTAGAACTGTCTTTGTGTTTGTAGAACTGTCTTTGTGTTTGTAGAACTGTCTTTGTGTTTGTAGGCGGGTCTGTAGAACTGTCTTTGTGTTTGTAGTCGTGTTTGTAGAACTGTCTTTGTGTTTGTAGGCGAGGTCTGTAGAACTGTCTTTGTGTTTGTAGGCGAGGTCTGTAGAACTGTCTTTGTGTTTGTAGAACTGTCTTTGTGTTTGTAGAACTGTCTTTGTGTTTGTAGAACTGTCTTTGTGTTTGTAGAACTGTCTTTGTGTTTGTAGGCGAGGTCTGTAGAACTGTCTTTGTGTTTGTAGGCGAGGTCTGTAGAACTGTCTTTGTGTTTGTAGAACTGTCTTTGTGTTTGTAGAACTGTCTTTGTGTTTGTAGGCGAGGTCTGTAGAACTGTCTTTGTGTTTGTAGGCGAGGTCTGTAGAACTGTCTTTGTGTTTGTAGGCGAGGTCTGTAGAACTGTCTTTGTGTTTGTAGAACTGTCTTTGTGTTTGTAGAACTGTCTTTGTGTTTGTAGGCGAGGTCTGTAGAACTGTCTTTGTGTTTGTAGGCGAGGTCTGTAGAACTGTCTTTGTGTTTGTAGAACTGTCTTTGTGTTTGTAGAACTGTCTTTGTGTTTGTAGAACTGTCTTTGTGTTTGTAGGCGAGGTCTGTAGAACTGTCTTTGTGTTTGTAGGCGAGGTCTGTAGAACTGTCTTTGTGTTTGTAGAACTGTCTTTGTGTTTGTAGTGTCTTTGTGTTTGTAGAACTGTCTTTGTGTTTTTAGGCGAGGTCTGTAGAACTGTCTTTGTGTTTGTAGAACTGTCTTTGTGTTTGTAGAACTGTCTTTGTGTTTGTAGGCGAGGTCTGTAGAACTGTCTTTGTGTTTGTAGGACTCTGTCTTTGTGTTTGTAGAACTGTCTTTGTGTTTGTAGAACTGTCTTTGTGTTTGTAGAACTGTCTTTGTGTTTGTAGGCGAGGTCTGTAGAACTGTCTTTGTGTTTGTAGGCGAGGTCTGTAGAACTGTCTTTGTGTTTGTAGAACTGTCTTTGTGTTTGTAGAACTGTCTTTGTGTTTGTAGGCGAGGTCTGTAGAACTGTCTTTGTGTTTGTAGAACTGTCTTTGTGTTTGTAGAAGTGTCTTTGTGTTTGTAGGCGAGGTCTGTAGAACTGTCTTTGTGTTTGTAGGCGAGGTCTGTAGAACTGTCTTTGTGTTTGTAGAACTGTCTTTGTGTTTGTAGAACTGTCTTTGTGTTTGTAGAACTGTCTTTGTGTTTGTAGGCGAGGTCTGTAGAACTGTCTTTGTGTTTGTAGGCGAGGTCTGTAGAACTGTCTTTGTGTTTGTAGAACTGTCTTTGTGTTTGTAGAACTGTCTTTGTGTTTGTAGAACTGTCTTTGTGTTTGTAGAACTGTCTTTGTGTTTGTAGGCGAGGTCTGTAGAACTGTCTTTGTGTTTGTAGGCGAGGTCTGTAGAACTGTCTTTGTGTTTGTAGAACTGTCTTTGTGTTTGTAGAACTGTCTTTGTGTTTGTAGGCGAGGTCTGTAGAACTGTCTTTGTGTTTGTAGGCGAGGTCTGTAGAACTGTCTTTGTGTTTGTAGAACTGTCTTTGTGTTTGTAGAACTGTCTTTGTGTTTGTAGAACTGTCTTTGTGTTTGTAGAACTGTCTTTGTGTTTGTAGAACTGTCTTTGTGTTTGTAGGCGAGGTCTGTAGAACTGTCTTTGTGTTTGTAGGCGAGGTCTGTAGAACTGTCTTTGTGTTTGTAGAACTGTCTTTGTGTTTGTAGAACTGTCTTTGTGTTTGTAGAACTGTCTTTGTGTTTGTAGGCGAGGTCTGTAGAACTGTCTTTGTGTTTGTAGAACTGTCTTTGTGTTTGTAGAACTGTCTTTGTGTTTGTAGGCGAGGTCTGTAGAACTGTCTTTGTGTTTGTAGAACTGTCTTTGTGTTTGTAGAACTGTCTTCGTGTTTGTAGAACTGTCTTTGTGTTTGTAGGCGAGGTCTGTAGAACTGTCTTTGTGTTTGTAGGCGAGGTCTGTAGAACTGTCTTTGTGTTTGTAGAACTGTCTTTGTGTTTGTAGAACTGTCTTTGTGTTTGTAGGCGAGGTCTGTAGAACTGTCTTTGTGTTTGTAGGCAAGGTCTGTAGAACTGTCTTTGTGTTTGTAGAACTGTCTTTGTGTTTGTAGAACTGTCTTTGTGTTTGTAGAACTGTCTTTGTGTTTGTAGGCGAGGTCTGTAGAACTGTCTTTGTGTTTGTAGGCGAGGTCTGTAGAACTGTCTTTGTGTTTGTAGAACTGTCTTTGTGTTTGTAGAACTGTCTTTGTGTTTGTAGGCGAGGTCTGTAGAACTGTCTTTGTGTTTGTAGGCGAGGTCTGTAGAACTGTCTTTGTGTTTGTAGAACTGTCTTTGTGTTTGTAGAACTGTCTTTGTGTTTGTAGGCGAGGTCTGTAGAACTGTCTTTGTGTTTGTAGGCGAGGTCTGTAGAACTGTCTTTGTGTTTGTAGAACTGTCTTTGTGTTTGTAGAACTGTCTTTGTGTTTGTAGGCGAGGTCTGTAGAACTGTCTTTGTGTTTGTAGGCGAGGTCTGTAGAACTGTCTTTGTGTTTGTAGAACTGTCTTTGTGTTTGTAGAACTGTCTTTGTGTTTGTAGAACTGTCTTTGTGTTTGTAGAACTGTCTTTGTGTTTGTAGAACTGTCTTTGTGTTTGTAGGCGAGGTCTGTAGAACTGTCTTTGTGTTTGTAGGCGAGGTCTGTAGAACTGTCTTTGTGTTTGTAGAACTGTCTTTGTGTTTGTAGAACTGTCTTTGTGTTTGTAGAACTGTCTTTGTGTTTGTAGGCGAGGTCTGTAGAACTGTCTTTGTGTTTGTAGAACTGTCTTTGTGTTTGTAGAACTGTCTTTGTGTTTGTAGGCGAGGTCTGTAGAACTGTCTTTGTGTTTGTAGAACTGTCTTTGTGTTTGTAGAACTGTCTTTGTGTTTGTAGAACTGTCTTTGTGTTTGTAGGCGAGGTCTGTAGAACTGTCTTTGTGTTTGTAGGCGAGGTCTGTAGAACTGTCTTTGTGTTTGTAGAACTGTCTTTGTGTTTGTAGAACTGTCTTTGTGTTTGTAGAACTGTCTTTGTGTTTGTAGGCGAGGTCTGTAGAACTGTCTTTGTGTTTGTAGAACTGTCTTTGTGTTTGTAGAACTGTCTTTGTGTTTGTAGGCGAGGTCTGTAGAACTGTCTTTGTGTTTGTAGGCGAGGTCTGTAGAACTGTCTTTGTGTTTGTAGAACTGTCTTTGTGTTTGTAGAACTGTCTTTGTGTTTGTAGGCGAGGTCTGTAGAACTGTCTTTGTGTTTGTAGGCGAGGTCTGTAGAACTGTCTTTGTGTTTGTAGAACTGTCTTTGTGTTTGTAGAACTGTCTTTGTGTTTGTAGAACTGTCTTTGTGTTTGTAGGCGAGGTCTGTAGAACTGTCTTTGTGTTTGTAGGCGAGGTCTGTAGAACTGTCTTTGTGTTTGTAGAACTGTCTTTGTGTTTGTAGGCGATGTTTGTAGAACTGTCTTTGTGTTTGTAGAACTGTCTTTGTGTTTGTAGGCGAGGTCTGTAGAACTGTCTTTGTGTTTGTAGAAGTGTCTTTGTGTTTGTAGGCGAGGTCTGTAGAACTGTCTTTGTGTTTGTAGAAGTGTCTTTGTGTTTGTAGGCGAGGTCTGTAGAACTGTCTTTGTGTTTGTAGAACTGTCTTTGTGTTTGTAGGCGAGGTCTGTAGAACTGTCTTTGTGTTTGTAGAACTGTCTTTGTGTTTGTAGGCGAGGTCTGTAGAACTGTCTTTGTGTTTGTAGAAGTGTCTTTGTGTTTGTAGGCGAGGTCTGTAGAACTGTCTTTGTGTTTGTAGAACTGTCTTTGTGTTTGTAGGCGATGTTTGTAGAACTGTCTTTGTGTTTGTAGAACTGTCTTTGTGTTTGTAGGCGAGGTCTGTAGAACTGTCTTTGTGTTTGTAGAAGTGTCTTTGTGTTTGTAGGCGAGGTCTGTAGAACTGTCTTTGTGTTTGTAGAACTGTCTTTGTGTTTGTAGGCGAGGTCTGTAGAACTGTCTTTGTGTTTGTAGAACTGTCTTTGTGTTTGTAGGCGAGGTCTGTAGAACTGTCTTTGTGTTTGTAGAACTGTCTTTGTGTTTGTAGGCGAGGTCTGTAGAACTGTCTTTGTGTTTGTAGAACTGTCTTTGTGTTTGTAGGCGAGGTCTGTAGAACTGTCTTTGTGTTTGTAGAACTGTCTTTGTGTTTGTAGGCGAGGTCTGTAGAACTGTCTTTGTGTTTGTAGAACTGTCTTTGTGTTTGTAGGCCAGGTTTGTAGAACTGTCTTTGTGTTTGTAGGCGAGGTCTGTAGAACTGTCTTTGTGTTTGGAAGCAAGGTTTGTAGAACTGTCTTTGTGTTTGTAGGCGAGGTTTGTAGAACTGTCTTTGTGTTTGTAGGCGAGGTCTGTAGAACTGTCTTTGTGTTTGTAGAACTGTCTTTGTGTTTGTAGAACTGTCTTTGTGTTTGTAGGCGAGGTCTGTAGAACTGTCTTTGTGTTTGTAGAACTGTCTTTGTGTTTGTAGGCGAGGTCTGTAGAACTGTCTTTGTGTTTGGAAGCAAGGTTTGTAGAACTGTCTCTGTGTTTGTAGGTGAGGTCTGTAGAACTGTCTTTGTGTTTGTAGAACTGTCTTTGTGTTTGTAGGCGAGGTCTGTAGAACTGTCTTTGTGTTTGTAGAACTGTCTTTGTGTTTGTAGAACTGTCTTTGTGTTTGTAGAACTGTCTTTGTGTTTGTAGGCGAGGTCTGTAGAACTGTCTTTGTGTTTGTAGAACTGTCTTTGTGTTTGTAGAACTGTCTTTGTGTTTGTAGGCGAGGTCTGTAGAACTGTCTTTGTGTTTGTAGAACTGTCTTTGTGTTTGTAGGCGAGGTCTGTAGAACTGTCTTTGTGTTTGTAGAACTGTCTTTGTGTTTGTAGGCGAGGTCTGTAGAACTGTCTTTGTGTTTGTAGAACTGTCTTTGTGTTTGTAGGCGAGGTCTGTAGAACTGTCTTTGTGTTTGTAGAACTGTCTTTGTGTTTGTAGGCGAGGTCTGTAGAACTGTCTTTGTGTTTGTAGAACTGTCTTTGTGTTTGTAGGCGAGGTCTGTAGAACTGTCTTTGTGTTTGGAAGCAAGGTTTGTAGAACTGTCTCTGTGTTTGGAAGCAAGGTTTGTAGAACTGTCTCTGTGTTTGTAGGTGAGGTTTGTAGAACTGTCTTTGTGTTTGTAGGCGAGGTCTGTAGAACTGTCTTTGTGTTTGTAGAACTGTCTTTGTGTTTGTAGAACTGTCTTTGTGTTTGTAGGCGAGGTCTGTAGAACTGTCTTTGTGTTTGTAGAACTGTCTTTGTGTTTGTAGGCGAGGTCTGTAGAACTGTCTTTGTGTTTGGAAGCAAGGTTTGTAGAACTGTCTCTGTGTTTGGAAGCAAGGTTTGTAGAACTGTCTCTGTGTTTGTAGGTGAGGTTTGTAGAACTGTCTTTGTGTTTGTAGGCGAGGTCTGTAGAACTGTCTTTGTGTTTGTAGAACTGTCTTTGTGTTTGTAGAACTGTCTTTGTGTTTGTAGGCGAGGTCTGTAGAACTGTCTTTGTGTTTGTAGGCGAGGTCTGTAGAACTGTCTTTGTGTTTGTAGAACTGTCTTTGTGTTTGTAGAACTGTCTTTGTGTTTGTAGGCGAGGTCTGTAGAACTGTCTTTGTGTTTGTAGGCGAGGTCTGTAGAACTGTCTTTGTGTTTGTAGAACTGTCTTTGTGTTTGTAGAACTGTCTTTGTGTTTGTAGGCGAGGTCTGTAGAACTGTCTTTGTGTTTGTAGGCGAGGTCTGTAGAACTGTCTTTGTGTTTGTAGAACTGTCTTTGTGTTTGTAGAACTGTCTTTGTGTTTGTAGGCGAGGTCTGTAGAACTGTCTTTGTGTTTGTAGGTTTGTAGAACTGTCTTTGTGTTTGTAGGCGAGGTCTGTAGAACTGTCTTTGTGTTTGGAAGCAAGGTTTGTAGAACTGTCTCTGTGTTTGGAAGCAAGGTTTGTAGAACTGTCTCTGTGTTTGTAGGTGAGGTTTGTAGAACTGTCTTTGTGTTTGTAGGCGAGGTCTGTAGAACTGTCTTTGTGTTTGTAGAACTGTCTTTGTGTTTGTAGAACTGTCTTTGTGTTTGTAGGCGAGGTCTGTAGAACTGTCTTTGTGTTTGTAGGCGAGGTCTGTAGAACTGTCTTTGTGTTTGTAGAACTGTCTTTGTGTTTGTAGAACTGTCTTTGTGTTTGTAGAACTGTCTTTGTGTTTGTAGGCGAGGTCTGTAGAACTGTCTTTGTGTTTGTAGGCGAGGTCTGTAGAACTGTCTTTGTGTTTGTAGAACTGTCTTTGTGTTTGTAGAACTGTCTTTGTGTTTGTAGGCGAGGTCTGTAGAACTGTCTTTGTGTTTGTAGGCGAGGTCTGTAGAACTGTCTTTGTGTTTGTAGAACTGTCTTTGTGTTTGTAGAGGTTTGTAGAACTGTCTTTGTGTTTGTAGGCGAGGTCTGTAGAACTGTCTTTGTGTTTGTAGGCGAGGTCTGTAGAACTGTCTTTGTGTTTGTAGAAGTGTCTTTGTGTTTGTAGGCGAGGTCTGTAGAACTGTCTTTGTGTTTGTAGAACTGTCTTTGTGTTTGTAGGCGAGGTCTGTAGAACTGTCTTTGTGTTTGTAGAACTGTCTTTGTGTTTGTAGGCGAGGTCTGTAGAACTGTCTTTGTGTTTGTAGAACTGTCTTTGTGTTTGTAGGCGAGGTCTGTAGAACTGTCTTTGTGTTTGTAGAACTGTCTTTGTGTTTGTAGGCGAGGTCTGTAGAACTGTCTTTGTGTTTGTAGAACTGTCTTTGTGTTTGTAGGCGAGGTCTGTCTTTGTGTTTGTAGAACTGTCTTTGTGTTTGTAGGCGAGGTCTGTAGAACTGTCTTTGTGTTTGTAGAACTGTCTTTGTGTTTGTAGGCGAGGTCTGTAGAACTGTCTTTGTGTTTGTAGAACTGTCTTTGTGTTTGTAGGCGAGGTCTGTAGAACTGTCTTTGTGTTTGGAAGCAAGGTTTGTAGAACTGTCTCTGTGTTTGGAAGCAAGGTTTGTAGAACTGTCTCTGTGTTTGTAGGTGAGGTTTGTAGAACTGTCTTTGTGTTTGTAGGCGAGGTCTGTAGAACTGTCTTTGTGTTTGGAAGCAAGGTTTGTAGAACTGTCTTTGTGTTTGTAGGCGAGGTCTGTAGAACTGTCTTTGTGTTTGTAGAACTGTCTGTGTTTGTAGGCGAGGTCTGTAGAACTGTCTTTGTGTTTGCAGGCAAAGTTTGTAGAACTGTCTCTACTGTCTTTGTGTTTGTAGAACATGGCCCGGAATACAGCCCAGAATGCACGCAACACCCAGATCATGGATCCACAGCATATGAGGACCCCCCCCCGAGTGACTGTGAAGGCACGTCCCTGCCACTCACCATGCATGCGGCCTGGACAGCCTCGCTTAGCCCGGCAGCGTTGGGTTCACACCAGACCATATGGCAGCGGAAGTCCCCGGGGGCAGCAGCCATGATGAAGGCGAAGGAGCGGACGTCCCTCCCGATGCCCATGAAGGACAGGAAGCGCACCCGGCACTCACACAGCACAGCCTCCGTCTGCAAGGAGCAAAGAGGAGTCAAGGGGGGGGGTCAGAAGGGTCACGACCTGCAAAGGCCCCTCCCTCTCCCCATTTGTCTGCCTTCAATTCATAACACTGATGTTTATCCACTTCTTTCTTTGAACTATATTTCCTTTGAAACTTGAGAGGAAAACATAAATGTAAGTGTATTCAAAATAAAGACATTCCTGCAAAACTAGCTGATTTGAGTACTGTTTTGACAGCAAAGTGGTATAAAAACAAATATGATAATTATTATAATAATAACGATAATAGTAAGTTCGATAATAGCAATTTCAAGGCTACTACAACTACTAGCAACTTCACTTTCTGCTCAAGAGGTATAGTGGGGGAAGGGGGTCATTGCTGTGGATGGTGGACATCCCTCTATTGTTGTTGTTGTTTTATACCCTGCTTTATCCCTCCCGATGGGAACTCCTTCCCCACCCAAACCTGGAAAGTGAGGTCAAAGAAGGAAGTGCAGTGTGTGGTATGTGTGGGTGTAGGTAAGGGTCAAAGTTTTCCCCAGTCACGTCCGACTCTGGGACTCTGGTGGTTATCTCCATTTCTAAGCCAAAGAGCCAGCGTTGTCCATAGACACCTCCAAGGTCATATGGCCACTGGTATGACTGCATGAAGCACCGTTACCTTCCCGCCGGAGCAGTACCTATTGATCTACTCACATTTGCATGTGTTTGCTAGGTTGGCAGAAGCTGGGGCTAACAGCAGTAGCTCACCCCAATCCCCGCATTCGAACCCGACCTTACTGTCAGCAAGTTCAGCAGCTCAGTGCTTTAGCACGCTGTGCCACCGGAGGCTCCTTGTATGTGTGTGTAAATAATAATAATAATAATACTTTATTTATAGGCCGCTGTTGTGGCTGAGCTAGTTTCTGACGATGAGGATGATGGGATTCAGATTCCTGTTGGGTTTCAGCTTCCTGGCTCTTTGTCTGTGCCTCAAATCTCTGAGCCTGCTTCCGAGGCTCTCACAGACAGTGCAGTGTCAACACAGCTGTTTTCACCAGAAAGGAATGTTAACGAAGGAAATAGCGAGCAGGTGCCTTCCCACGATGATACCGAAAGTGCAGATAAGGATTTGACCCGAGAAGCTCGCCTTGATCTCCGGGTCAGGCGGAGTTCGCGTCTGGCAAGCAAACGAGAGGCTAGCTCGGTGCAAGGTCATTGCAATGCTTTTATGATGCTGAGAGCCTAATGTTTTGATGTTAGAAAGGTATTTAGGCCTCCTGGAAACTGTGAAAGCGTCAGTTCAACGTAGCTTATTAGCCTGAAAGCTTCATGGAATAACCTTAGCCTGGAAAGCAGTACGCTTGGGATTTCTTGCATCGTGATTCTTGGGGCAAATGTTTCCTTGCTTGTACCTGGGACTCTGGTTTGAACTTTGCCAATAGGATTACGTCTCCTGCTTTTACTTGAAGATCTTTGGAACTGTATTCTGCATTTAACCTTAATCTCTGGGACTTTGCGATGCTTATTCTTTATTTGGGATTTTCTCCTCAATAAACTGTAAAACTACAGCTCTTGTGTGGTGGTGTTTAGGAGCAAGGTGAAGCCTACTCTGAGTTGCAACAGCCGCCCTATCTCCCCGAGGGGACTCTGCTTTCCTCTCTAAATTGAGATTCAAATCAGCACAGAAAGTGGGATGCATAAATATAGATTTAAATATAGATATATGGTGATTGTGTCTCCCGAGAGAGGAAAGCAGGATGCATTTCTTCCCTCCCAAGGCACTATTTTTTGGTGCATATAAGCAACTCTAAAAATAGGGTTTGCTTTAGAATAGTTGGTAGGTAAAAGTAAAGGCTTCTCCTTAAAATGAAGTCGAGTTGTGTCCGACTCTGGGACTCTGGTGCTCCTCTCCATGTCTAAGCCGAAGAGCTGGTATTGTCCATAGACACCTCCAAGATCATGTGGCCAGCATGACAGCATGGAGTGCCATTACCTTCCCACCAGAGCGGTACCTATTGATCTACTCACATTTGCATGCTTTCGAACTGCTAGGTTGGCAGAAACTGGGGCTAACAGTGGGAGCTCACTCCACTCCCCGAATTCAAACCGCAAACCTTCCAATCAGCAAGTTCAGCAAGGCGGCTTCACAACAGGCATTCATTCAATGCCAACAACAGGAATAAATTATAAAAAGCCATTAAAACAATTCATTAATGCTTTAAAATTACTAAAGGCATGTTTGGAATCCTAGTCCAGGTTAGTTTGGAGAGAAATCCTCAGTGGAGGCCCCTTTCCCCCAGGATTATAACACGATCGGGAGGGAATTTCCCTCGGAGGGCAAGACTTCTCTTACTCCTGTTGTCTCAGCCACTGTTCTTGCTACAAAACAAGAGCTTTTTTGTTGAGTTCCAGGGCAGAGAAGCAGATGGCGGAAACAGAAGAACGGCCTGCCTCAGGGGAGCATGCTTGCTCCATCCATGTTCAACATCTACACAAATGACCAGCCACTGCCAGAAGAGACAAAGAGTTTCATCTATGCTGATGATCCTGCCATCACTGCTCAAGCAGGGAGCTTTGAGATGGTTGAACAGAAGCTCTCCGAAGCTCTAGGTGCTCTTACTGCCTATTACAGGGAAAACCAGCTGATCCCTAATCCATCTAAAACACAGACATGTGCCTTTCACCTTAAGAACAGACAAGCATCCCGAGCTCTGAGGATTATTACCTGGGAAGGAATCCCACTGGAGCATTGCAGCACACCCAAATCCCTGGGAGTCACTCTGGACCGTGCTCTGACCTACAAGAAGCACTGCCTGAACATCAAGCAAATAGTGGGTGCTAGAAACAATATCATACGAAAGCTGACTGGCACAACCTGGGGATCACAACCAGACACAGTGAAGACATCTGCCCTTGCGCTATGCTATTCTGCTGCTGAGTATGCATGCCCAGTGTGGAACACATCTCACCACACTAAAACAGTGGATGTGGCTCTTAATGAGACATGCCGCATTATCACGGGATGTCTGCGCCCTACACCACTGGAGAAATTACACTGTCTAGCCGGTATCGCACCACCTGACATCCGCCGGCAAGTAGCAACCAATAGTGAAAGGACCAAGGCAGAGACATCTTCAGCTCATCCCTTGTTTGGGCATCAGCCAGCATGCCAATGACTTAAATCAAGAAATAGTTTTCTAAGATCTACAGAGACACTCGCTGGAACACCTGAGCAAGCGAGAGTCCAAAAGTGGCAGGCTCAAACCCAGAACCTCAACCAATGGCTGATACCAAATGAGAGACTCCCCCCTGGGCACACGGAAGACTGGGCAACTTAGAAGGCGCTGAACAGACTGCGCTCTGGCACCACAAGATGCAGAGCCAACCTCAAGAAATGGGACCACAAAGTGGAACCCACGACATGCGAGTGTGGAGAAGAGCAAACCACTGACCACATGCTGCAATGCAACCTGAGCCCTGCCACATGCACAAGGGAGGACCTCCTTGCAGCAACACCAGAGGCACTCCAAGGGGCCAGATACTGGGCAAAGGACATCTAATCCACTACCAAGTTTGCAAATTTTGTGTTTTGCCTGTTTGTTTTGTTCTGTTAGAAATGTAATACAATTGTCTGGTTGCCCCTGACACGATAAATAAATAAAGCCACTGTTTTAACTAGGAGTTGTTTACAAGTCAGATGTAACTCGGGGCCTGCCTGTATATGTACGTATATGTGTGTGTATGTGTATGAATATGTACATATGTTTGTGTGTGTGATGGTCTCCCAAGAGAGGGAAAGAGGAGAGCAAGGTCTATCTATCTGTTCGTCGATGACTGGTTCCTCCACTTGGCACCCTGCTGCCCACGCCACCTCTGCCTGCTTAACCTCTGCTGACCCTTGGGGAGGGGAGTGCTGCCCACCTGCTGGTGGGTGAGGGTGAGGGTGGCGGGGGCCACGCTGAACTGGGTGGGGGTCCACTGCTCCTTGCTGCCCGCTTCCAGGGCTGCTTCCAGCGCCGCGTTGAGGACCTCCATCCCTAGGAGCCAATCAGAGAGAGACCCCAAGGGGAGGATGTGAGTGAAGAGACCCCTGAAGGAAGCCCCAGCTGGCCAAGGATTCTCTATGCCCACCCCCATACCCCATACGCCACCCTTGAAGGCCCATTTGGCTGCATCCATTGCCAGCCCCGTTTCTGAACCCGGCTCTTTGGGGTCCCATTCCTTGAAAGAGCTGCAAATGGGGCTGGGAAGCAGAGAGAGACCCCCAATTGGGAGCCCCTGTGTCTGTGGCATGGGGGGGTGCACATGATCCCCCACCACATGCACAGAGCAGCCCCCCCCCATGTAGTGTGACCCAGAATTGGGGGGCTAAACACAACCCCCACCCCATGCAGAGCAGTCCCCCCCCGTGTAAAGTGATCTGGAATTGGGGGACTAAACACAACCCCCACCCCATGCACACAGCAGCCCCCCCCCATGTAGAGTAACCCAGAAATGGGGGTCTAAACACAACCCCCAGCCCATGCACACAACAGCCCCCCACCATGTAGAGTGACCCAGAATTGGGGGACTAAACACATCCCCCAACCCATGCCCCCAATTGGGAGCCCCTGTGTCTGTGGCATGGGGGGGTGCACATGATCCCCCACCACATGCACAGAGCAGCCCCCCCCCATGTAGTGTGACCCAGAATTGGGGGGCTAAACACAACCCCCACCCCATGCAGAGCAGTCCCCCCCCCGTGTAAAGTGATCTGGAATTGGGGGACTAAACACAACCCCCACCCCATGCACACAGCAGCCCCCCCCCATGTAGAGTAACCCAGAAATGGGGGTCTAAACACAACCCCCACCCCATGCACAGAGCAGCCCCCCACCATGTAGAGTGACCCAGAATTGGGGGACTAAACACATCCCCCAACCCATGCACAGATCACCCCCCTCCCCACATTTAGAGTGACTCGTAACCATCGCCCTTCCATAAACACGACTTACCCACAGGCTTCGCCACGGAGACACTGCCCAAGTAGTAGACCTGGAACCTCTGGACAGACTCGCTTTTGGGGGCTGGGAACTCAACTGCAGATGGATGGATTTGGGGGGGGGGGCAGGAAAAAGCAGGTGAAGCCTCCCTTCCAGACCCTTCCCCATATAACCCCCCACTCCACCCCACTCACCCCACCCCCCACTCAAAAGCCAGCCGCTCACCTTGGAAGGGGACGTCCACCAGCTTGGAGTGGTCCAGGAAGAGCCCGTTGGGGGGGCCCCGGGGGCTCTGCCGCTCTGCCATGATCTGAGGGGGGGAAAGTCAGGGGTCGCAAGGGGGTCTCCTGAGTGCCTACACAGCCCCCCCCCCCAATTAGTGCTATAGGGAAGGACAGGGTTCCCAAGACCTTCTTGCTGTTGCGTTCCAGGGTTCGGGCATCAAGATGTTGGGGCTTGCTGTTGTGCCCTCTTATTAGTTCGCCCAAAACTCTTCAGAGTTTTTATGCAAGCCAATGAGATTGTTCAACAGCAAGCAGACCGGGCTGTGGCGCAGCTAGTTAGTAGCCAGCTGCATTAAGTCACTACTGACCGAGTAGTTTGCACACTTTGTGCTTTTTTTATGTTTGTTTGTTTGTTTTGTTACGTTAGAAATGTAATACAATGGTCTGGTTGCCCCTGACACGATAAATATATATAATATACCGAGATGTCCTGAGTCCGGGTCAGAGTGAGCTCCCGATCATTAAAAGTCTAGCTTGCTGTTGACCTATTATTTATTTACAGTATTTGTATACCGCTTTTCTCACCCCAAGGGGGACTCAAAGCGGTTTACACATAAGTAATGGCAAAAATTATTTTAATTTTTTTCTAAAAGCCAGGAGGGAGGGAGCAGATCTTCTCTCATTAGGGAGTGTGTTCCATAGACGGGGGGCCACTGCCGAGAAGGCCCTGTCTCTGTTGACGGGAGCAAGAGCAGGGCCTCCCCGGATGATCTTAGATTACGAGGTGGGACGTAGGGGCAGATGCGTTCGGACAAGTAAGCTGGGCCAGAACCGTATAGAGCTTTATAGGTCAAAACCAGCACTTTGAATTGGGCTCGGAGATGGACCGGCAGCCAGTGGAGCTGGCATAGCAGGGGGGGGACCTATGCAGCCTGAAAGACAGTTGCCTCTGTCAAGTAGGAAATTTAGGTACTGCTTTTATGTGGGGAGGCTAATTTAACTAATTTACGACACCATAAAACTCTCCAGCAGCATGCAGAACAATGAGGAAGTACTCCATCAAGGTGTTACAAGTAGACGGTGAAGCAACAGCTCCCCCTGTGGCCAGAATCGAGCATAACCTCCTGAAGCCGGGAAGCCGGAATGATAACTTGCCTCTGCGTCTGTCTACATATGTTGTATGTTGTATGTCTAATTGGCATTGAATGTTTGCCATGTATATGTGCATTGTAATCCGCCCCAAGTCCTCTGCTCGGTGAGAAGGACGGAATAGAAATACTGTAAATCTATATAAATAAAAATGTAATGTTCGTTTGTGGGGTTAACAGAACTCAAAAACCACTGGACAAGTTGACACCAAATTTGGACACAAGACACCTAACAACCCAATGTATGTCCTTCACTCAAAAAAAAAATGATTTTGTCATTTGGGAGTTGTAGTTGCTGGGATTTATAGTTCACCTACAATCAAAGAGCATTCTGAACCCCACCAACGATGGAATTGAACCAAACTTGGCACACAGAACTCCCCTAACCAACAGAAAATACTGGAAGGGTTTGGTGGGCAGTGTCCTTTGGTTTTGGAGTTGTAGTTCACCTACATCCAGAGATGACTGTGGACTCAAACAATGATGGACCTGGACCAAACTCTACACGAAGACTCAATATGCCCAAATGTGAACACTGGTGGAGTTTGGAGGAAATAGAATCTTGACATTTGGGAGTTGTAGTTGCTGGGATTTATAGTTCACTTAGAATCACAGAGCATTCTGAACCCCACCAACGATAGAATTGGGCCAAACCTCCCACACAGAACAGCCATGTGGGCCACAGCAACGTGTGGCAGGGGACGGCTAGTAGTCGTAGTAGTAGTAGTAATAATAATAATAATAATAATAATGATAATAATAGGTCAAGTCGCCTTGCTGGGTGAGCAAATGGCAAGGGCCACATTGGAATTTGGACTTAGCTTTATAGTCCCAAATTTTCAGCAGGGGGGTCTCCATGGGCTGTGCCCCCCAAGTGAGGACAAGGAGGGGGTCGCCTGTGTTCCTTGGGAGAGAGAAAGTGGGGCGCAAGAGGGTGAGAGCGGCCTCACCTTGGAGCAGATGTCATGGAGGGCGGTGGCGATGTCCTTGGCGGGCGCCTGGCACCGGAAGACGTGGCACTTCAGCATCTGGGCCAGCTGGTCCCGGGCCACGTACGCAAAGTCCCTGCAAGAGGGTGAAAGGCAAATATGAGGGCGTGATGGGGTGGTCTTCCCTCCTCATGCATGCACACCCCCAAATCAAGCAACCCCAGTTTGCAGCCCAGAAAAATCCCCCTTAGCCACGAATGCAGGAAGACATACCTCTCCCTGAATCCCAAAGTGCAGCATTAAGGAAAGGGAAGAAAGCAGCGATAGTTAGCAATGTTGAGTGTGGAGCGGCATCTGCCCTTGGATCTAGAGCAGGCATGGGCCAACTTCGGCCCTCCCTTCCTAATGTTCAGGAAAGGAGATTCCACCTGAACATTAGAAAGGGCTTCTTAACTGAGAGAGCCATTCAGCAGTGGAACTCTCTGCCCCAAAGTGTGGTGGAGGCTCCCTCTACGTCCCGCCTCGGAGTTTAAGATCTTCTGGGGAGGCCCTGCTCTCGGCCCCACCTCTATCACAAGTGGGATTGGTGGGGACGAGGAGCAGGGCCTTCTTGGTGGTGGCCCCTCACCTGTGGAATTCACTCCATGGGGAAATTAGGTCATCGACATCCCTCCTCTCTTTTAGAAGGAAATTAAAAACATGGATTTGGGGCCAGGCTTTTGGGTAATCTGACAGATAGACAAAGGGCAAGCGACGACTAGAATTGATAGGAACTGACAATGTGGAATGAATTTACGGATTCTGAGCCGACGAACATTGAGCATGAGATTGGTTTTATTGATTGTGATGTATAATTGATTGTTTTAATTGTTTATTATTGTTTTAATTGCTGCTTATATATGTTTTATTTTTATTGTTTGTGTAGGCATCAAATTGTGCCTTTTGTAAGCCACCCTGAGTCCCCCCTCGGAGGTTGAGAAGGGCGGGGTAGAAATGCGGGAAAGAATAATAAATAATAATGGAGGTTGGATGGCCATCTGCTGGGGGTGCTTTGAACACAATTGTCCTGCTTCTTGGCAGAATGGGGTCTCTTCCAACTCTAGGATTCTATGTTTTGGACTTCAACTCCCACAATTCCTAACAGCCTACCAGATGTTAGGGATTATGGGAGTTGAAGTTCAAAACATATGGATGGAGGGCCGAAGTTGGGCCATACCTGATCAATAGAGAGCTCTCTATTGGCCAATCGAAGGAACTCGAGGTGTTTTGCTTCCTGCCTCCGTGGAGGGTTCGCTTCCCCCTTCTATTTCCTTCCAAAACTCCTAATAGTGTGACTTTGTGGCCCTTTTGTTTGGGAAGGGACCCCAAAGTGCCCCCCTATCCTCCCAAGGAGGAGCTTCCTTGTCTGGGGGAGTGGGATGCAGATCCAGCCTCTACCAGCCATGAAGTAATGAAGTACCACAGTCACCTACGGACCCACCGCCAGGATACTACACATCCTTGGACTACGAGGGATCGCCTAAGTAAGTATGGTAAGGCCGTAAGTTGTGATCTCTGGATTCCCTGTCATAGACACCAAGGGGTCTGCAGTAGGGAGGGGGCACTCCTTGCTGAACAATTGCCCAAAAATGTCCCCCCATATCTTCCCATGAATCCAGCCCCCACCCGGGACCCCCAACAGCCCCCACCAACCCACCAAAGAGAGGCGCACAGTCATGTTTCCCACCTGCCGCTATCCCGGCCGACCCCCCAGACACGGATGCCGGCGATGGGTTGGCTGTGCAGCACCGTCCGCTCCTCCGGGTCCAGTAGCGCCAGTGTCTCCTTCTCCAGGGTCAGGATCATGGCCTTGCCCTGTGCAAAAATAAAAAAGGGGGGAGATGAGGTAAGAGGGACCATCCTCAGAATCGGCAACACACACCCTGCTTCCTGGAGTGGTGTAATGGGTTAGTGAGAAGAGGCCTGAGAATTAGTCTGTTGGCTAGCGGAGTTAGCTAGTGAGAAGATTGCAGCTATTTGGGAAGGATAGCTGGGAAGTGGAGAGACAGATCCCAAAAGACAAGGACTGTCTGTGTGGAGGAGTTTAGAAATTACTGTCAGAGAATCAATCCTGTCAGTATTTCTGTGGAGGGAGAGAGAAGTGTTTCCTGTGTAACTAAGTCTGAACTACTTTATGGAACTACTTTATGTAACTACACGTTTTGAAACAGCTAAGCTTTAGACCTGAATTGTTCCAGTTCTCTCAAATAAACATCACTGTTTTGTTGTTCACAACAACTGCCTCACGTGTGCCTCTGTGGGTGAAGTTTTAAAAGCAGTTTCCTGCAACAATCAAGAGTCTATGGTGGCAGCGTATAATTTAATCTTTAGTGTTACCTCAGAAACACAAGCCTGAGGGCTAAATCCAACACAGTCTTGTCTCAGAATACTTCCAGTAAGCCAAGAGCTTATCAGCGCACTTCTAAGTTGGTGGGTGCCAGAGGGCTTTCAAAAAGGGGTTTTCAGCCAGAAGAAAGTTCTAGCTTTCCTTCCAGCTTTTTTGTTTTGTGGCTTTTAATTACCAGAAGCCACATTCAATCGCAAGTGGTGTCCAGTTTTGGGATTCTTTATATTCCCAAATTAAGTCTCAATACTCCTTTATAAAGTACCAACCGCTGTCCAGGGACAGAGGAGCCCCCTCCCCAAAAAAGCACCTAGAGAAAGGCTCACCTCCGGCCACTTCCCCCGGGGGTGGGGCCCCTCCCCCGCCAACTGCCGGATGCAGCCGTTGACCGCCGCGCTGCTCCGGCCAAGGGTCAGTTCCTCTTCGGACATCTCCACCCAGCCCAGCGAGCGCACCAGGAAGCACTGTGAAAGGGGATGGGGTGAGATTGGCATGAAAGAGAGGTCAGTTTGGGGGGTGGGTGGGAGCAGGAGAGGGAAGGACATTAGGAAGTTCTGGCTCACCCTTTCCTGCTTTCCCTTCGACCTTTGCAAATAGACTCAGCGCAAAATTATTCAATTTATACCCAGATAAAGATCCAGGTAAAAACATATTCCAAACTAAAAGCCACCGCATGCCCTGACTTGAATGTGAAAGCCTTCTTTGGAAGCTGACCTGAATAAGAAGGACACCTGTGCCCCTCCCCCTGCCCCACATATACATACACACATCACCCCCCCCAAACAGGTAAGAAGAGGGCCTACAAAGAAGGCAGTGTCACAATGTGTGTGTGTGTGTGGGGGGGTATTCCTGTGGAAGAGGTCAAGAGGTGCCCCCCCCCCAATCCCACCTTTGAGGCCAAAGTCCCTTCAAGCCAGGCCCAGGCCCATGTTACCTTTGATCCCTGGGAAACACCCAAGAAGGCAAGCTCTTCTTCTTCCTCCTGCAAAGACCTGCACAAATACAGAAGAGGTTTCAGGGGTTAATTCCCCACCTAGGATGCCCTCGGGGCATGTGCAGAGTTCCTCCTTAGCCTCCACCCTTCCGGGGAAGGATGCCCCCCTCCCATTGCCACAATGAGGGCCCTATTCCCTTTGGGGCATCCTTCTTAGGGGGGGTCTCTTTTGGGGTCCCCCATCCCCGCACTCACCGGCCGCCGTGGTCCCCCAAGCGCAGAGTGGAGTGACCCTCATCCAGGGTGGCCTCGGGGGTGGCCTCTCCCCCCTCCTCCTCCGAGGGGATCTCCTGCAAAGGGGGGGGGGGGGCAGAAAGGGGGGGATAAGAGCACGGCTTAATAAACAGGACACTTTAATGAGACATTTTTTAAAGGCCTTCGTTTTTAGGAAAGGGCAGGAGACCAAAGAGAAGGAGAAGAAGGCCAACCACAAAGACCCCAAGAGTCAAACAGGGCTGCTGATAAGTCTTTGGCTTTACCCAGAATTCCATGAGGCTTATGCTAGGTTTCCAAACAATGCCTGATCTGACAAGATTTTCTACAAACAAACCTTAAATCCCAAAAACTGGTTTCATTTTCCACCAGACTTTGACTTTAATTGATGAATTCTTTTGGATCAACGTAAACATTGGGCCTCTTGTCGATTCTGGCTAATCTCCAGCCGCCGACTCTGCTTATCTGACTCTTCATTAACTTTCCCAGGTGTCAGACTGTTTTCCAAACTAGAATCTGGAGAGCTCACAGGCGGAGGGAGTAAACCTTTCTCCCAAGGCCTGACAGAAACATTCTCATGAGAATCTGCCCTTTGCACCGAAGCCTCTCTGTCAGTGTCTGCATGAAGCTCATTGACCAAAGTGTCTCCATCTTGCACCTCAGAGTCAATCCCAGCATCCCCCACATCAGAAGCAACAGGGGACTGATTTCCCTCCTCATGACCCACATCAGACACAGGTTCAGGTTCAATCACAGCCTGAGTCCCAACACTGGTGACCAAAAGGAAGGAGGAAGTGGCTCAGAGGATGGAGCGACAGCACCCCCTGCGGCTGGAATTGAACGCAACCTCCAAGGCACCCAAAAAGCTGGACGTCAACGCAACATCCCTCCTTTCTGTTCTGCCTGTCTTTGTCCTGTCTATCCAAAAATTCCTGAATGTTTCCCATTTATGTGTAGCGTGATCTGCCCTGATTCCTCTTGGGGAGATAGGACAGAATATAAATAAAGTGTTATTATTCTTGATTTTGGATCCATTGACAATTATTTCTGCCTGATTATTTTTATATCATTCAGTTATTACTTGGCAAGATATCTTTCCCAGTCTGAAGTTTCCACTGACTTGGGATAGGGACTCATGGTTGACAGAGTCGAAGGCTTGAGAGACGTCCAGTTCTTCCTTTAATGTTGCTTGGTTGACTCACTTAATGATGTTCCTAATGGGGTCAGCCAGCATCCTTTGCTTAATGAATCCATATGGGTCTTCTTCCATTAAATTTGGAATCATCTCTTTCAGTTCGTTAGCTAATATTTTTGCAAAACTTGCAATCTCCATGACATAACGTGATTGGCCTGCATGGATTGGGGTCATCCTCCTCCTTATTTAGTTTTTAATTGTGTTATTATTGGGCAAGGGAGATGCTCAAGAACAACAACAACACGAGAGCCGGACGCATTGCTGCTGGAAATGATCAGTGCAGTATTGCCCAAACACACACACACATATATACATGGTGATCGCAGGAAATATTGTATACGCTGTTGCAACCCAGAACAGGAAACGAGACCATTAGATAACAATCCACCACACTTGACTGTGGAAAAAACAATCCCTTTTTATTGATGAAAAATGGTTACAAAATAGAAGAAAATGCAAAGTCAAAAAGCCACAGTAAAATTCAGCAGTCCAGAATATCCATGAACTAGATCAATATCCAAAAGCAACACTGTAAAAACCTGGAACCTGTTAGCAATCCACTAACCAACCGTACTTGGAGCACTAGAAGCCTCTTGGGTTGTAGGCCATGGGAAACGGGAAATCTGCAAAGGTAATGCCTCAGTCTAAACGATGCCTGATCTAACGAGACAACCCGGCGAGAGGCACTTAAAACTGGAGAAACTGTTTCGTGACACGCCTCCAGGCTTTGAAGCCTGTGTTTCCTTTTCCCTTAATCTGCTTGACCTTCGCAGACTCTGCGATTCACTCCTGTTTTTCCAAATCTGTCTTTTTCTATCCTCATTAAGGAAGCCAGGTGCTAACTCCTCTGGAGAGCTATCACAGCTTGGCTCTGAAACAGTTTCACTTTCCAAGCCACTGACCTCAGTATCAACATTTTCATTACCATCAGGGAACAATACATGTTCAGTAGCATCAGGAAATACAATCAGAGAATCAGGTTCAGGTTCACACTCAGGCTGAACCCCAACATATGCTTAATATTGGAAACATGAAGACATTCCCACTTAACATGGTGGATCTGGCAGAGATGGGCAAACTGACTGTGCTTATGCTTAGAGGGCAAGGCTCAGCACAGCGGAGTAACATTGCTAAGTTGCAGAAAATCCCGTTGAGCGAAAGGTTGGCAGTTCAAGCCCAGGTCGGGGTGAGCACTCACTGTCAGCCCCAGCTCTCTACCCACCTAGCGCCACTCTAAACATTTTCGCAGAAGCAACATCTGTTATAGAACTCCAGTATACTGACGACAACGTCGTCTGTGCACATTCAGAAGAAGACCTACAAGCCACTCTAAACACCTTTGCAGAAGCATACGAGAACCTCGGCCTATTATTAAACATCGAGAAAACCAAAGTGCTCTTCCAGCAGTCACCAGCCAATCCCTCTCCAATGCCAGAGATACAGCTTCATGGTGTAACATTAGAAAATGTGGACCATTTCCACTCCCTAGGCAGCCAAAGTCAACATCGACGCCGAAATACAACACCGCCTGAGCTCTGCGAGCGCAACATTTTTCTGAATGAAGCAGAGAGTGTTTGAGGACCGGGACATCCGTAGGGAGACCAAGGAGCTTGTCGATAAAGCTATTCCCCTCCCAACCCTGCTCTATGCCTGCGAGACGTGGACTGTCTACAGACGTCACATGCAACTCCTGGAACGATTCCATCAGCGCTGCCTCCGAAAAATCCTGCAAATTTCTTGGAAAGGCAAATCTCTTGGAGAAACAAACTTTTTAAACATCACATAAAGCTTTTTTCGTATCAGATAATGACTGAAGAAGGCAATAACACAGGGTGCAGAAAATACCCCGACTTTATGTCCATCCTTTTACCGCTCCTCACACTCTATGAATTAATAAGAACATCTCACCTTCCAGAAGTCGGCCTCCTCCGAAGGGTCAGCCTGGCCAAAGTCCATCCAGGTGAGCTGCAAATGGAGGATGGAGGGGAAAAGATGAAGCGTTGTTGTCGTTGTTGTTGTTGTTGATAATAATAATAATAATAATAATAATAATAATAATAATAATAATAATATTGTCTGAGCATGCCAGGAGCCAGAATTCTGATTGGCTACTGCCCCTAGCTTGCTGCTGAGACAAACGATTTTAACTGACATTTTCACTTTGGAGAGTGAAGAGAGTGCTGACTGGAAACAGCCAGGAAGGAAATGGCTGCCAACTCTCTGAAGCCTGACCATTTCTAAGGCATGAAGCACATTTTAAAGACCGTTTAATGGGACTGTTTATTCCCTCTGTTCTCTGTAAGAATTCAGATTTTAACTGACACTTACACTTTGGAGAGTGAAGAGAGTGCTGACTGGAAACAGCCAGGAAGGAAATGGCTGCCAACTCTCTGAAGCCTGACTATTTCTAAGGCATGAAGCACATTTTAAAAACTGTTTAACGGGACTGTTTATTCCCTCTGTTCTCTGTAAGAATTCAGATTTTAACTGACACTTTCACTTTGGAGAGTGAAGAGAGTGCTGACTGGAAACAGGCAGGAAGTTTAATGGTACTGTTTATTCCCTCTGTTCTCTGTAAGAATTCAGAGAGATTGCTGGATATATTGTTTCTCTGTTTGACCTTTTTAACTGAAGTAAAGTTACTGTTACTCGTTACACAAATCTGAGTGACACATTATTATACTGCAGGGTTTATTTTGGTTCAGAAACAGTGGTAAAGCTTCTATTTATTTACTCCACAACCCCGCACACTTACCATTAAGGAGAAGGTTGACTCAAGCGAGTTTTTAACTCTTTTCAGGAAGATTCCCAATTTTCCCAAATGGTTATGAATGTTATTTTCCAAAAGGTTATGGAGATTTTCATTTCCCAAAAGGTTATGGCATCATTTTTCCAAAAGGTTATGATCTCTCTTTCCAATTTTTTTTTGTTCCTAGGTTATAAAAGTTATTATTTCCTCATTGATTTCAGCATAAAAACATGGGAAAAGTTATTAAACTTCCCAAACTTTGTATTTTTGGGAGGGAGGGAGGGACATCCTGCGATAGCACATTTCGCTATAGGATTTCAATGCATATCTCATCATTGGGTCTTGACCAATTCAACCGGGTTTGTTGTAGCCACGAAAACAACAACGTTTGTGGAGTAGAACAACTACTGTCAAAGTATGTGCCGCACAATTCAACAGGAAATAACACTTTCAAAACAGGAATGAAACATTTCTCAAATTGGGTGGTTGCAGGTTTTTCTGGGCTATATGGCCATGTTCTAGAGGCATTCTCTCCTGACGTTTCGCCTGCATCTATGACAAGCATCCTCAGAGGTAGTGAGGTCTGTTGGAAGTAGGAAAATGGGTTTATATATCTGTGGAATGACCAGGATGAGACAAAGGACTCTTGTCTGCCGGAGCTAGGGGTGAATGTTTCAACTGACCACCTTGATTAGCTATAATTGCCTGACGGTGCCTGGAGCAAACTTTTGTTGAGAGGTGATTAGATGTCCTTGTTGTTTCTCAAATTTAGTCACATGGCCAGTTGTGTTTGGACACACACACCCCATACGCACCTGTCTCTCCCTGGGGGGGCTGCCTCCCCCCGTGTCGTCTGCGCTGTTGTCGTTGCTGTCGTGTGGGGCAGTCCTCCTTCCCCGGGGGGGCTCCCATTGGGTGGTCCCGGTGGGGATGTGCCAGTAGTAGGTGCCAGACGTGTCCTGGACCCGCATCCACCCGGCCGGGAGGTCCGAGTCCGTCTCCAGGGAGTTGCACAGCCAGAAGGAGTCTGAGGACAGGAAAGAAGGGGCAGGTGAGTGGGTGGGTGGGTGGGTGGGTGGGCAACCCCAATGAACCTCAAAATACATTTCTCAGCATGGGCTCAAAGGCAGGCTTGTTTGGCATTAAGGAACAGGAGACTTTGACCACGGGAAGGAGACGTAAAGACCATTTCAAGCAGATCTATCTGCCTCAGCCAAGAAGGAATGCCGGGCTCAAGAGACACTCCTCCAGAGACAGGAATGGAGGTGTGGGTGCTTGAGGGGGGCCTTCGCAAAATATAGTGCCAAAGAGCACCGGTAGTGTGGTGCTTCCTGCTCCTCAGCAGACTGAAAGCCAAAACCAAGGTTACAACAACATCTGTTATAGAACTCCAGTATGCTGATGACAACGTCATCTGTGCGCATTCAGAAGACCTACAAGCCAAAACCAAGGTTACAACATCTATTATAGAACTCCAGTATGCGGATGACAACGTTGTCTATGCGCATTCAGAAGAAGACCTACACGCCAAAACCAAGGTTACAACAGCATCTGTTATAGAACTCTAGTATGCCGATGACAACGTCATCTGTGCGCATTCAGAAGACCTACAAGCCAAAACCAAGGTTACAACATCTGTTATAGAACTCCAGTATGCTGATGACAACGTCGTCTGTGCACATTCAGAAGACCTACAAGCCAAAACCAAGGTTACAACAACATCTATTATAGAACTCCAGAATGCTGATGACAACGTGGTCTGTGCACATTCAGAAGAAGACCTACAAACCAAAACCAAGGTTACAACAGCATCTGTTAAAGAACTCTAGTATGCCGATGACAACATCATCTGTGCGCATTCAGAAGAAGACCTACAAGCCAAAACCAAGGTTACAACAACATCTGTTTTGGAACTCCAGTATGCCTGTGCGCATTCATAAGACCTACAAGCCAAAACCAAGGTTACAACAACATCTGTTATAGAACTCCAGTATGCTGATGACAACGTCGTCTGTGCGCATTCAGAAGAAGACCTACAGGCCACACTAAACACCTTTGCAGAAGCATACGAGAAGCTCGGCCTCTCATTAAACATCGAGAAAACCAAAGTGTTCTTCCAGCAAAAGGCACCAGGCCATCCCCCCTCCAATGCCAGAGTTACAGCTCAATGGTGTAACATTAGAAAATGTGGACCATTTCCACTCCCTTGGCAGCCACCTCTCCACCAAAGTCAACATTGACTCTTAAACACTGCCAGGATTTATTGGTGTGTTTTAAATGTAATTCTTGTATTACCGGTGTAATGCTATGCTGAAATGTTTATGTTGAGGCTGTGATTGAGTGGCCTTAAGATAAGCTCTCTGCTGCTGAGAAACATTAGGGAGTTAACCACTTGGAGCAGAAGAGCTAAGCAGCTGCAAAAGAACTGTTTTGACTTACGGTTTGCCTTGTGTGTTCCTGTGTGTCACTCGCTGAAGATGGATGTGCTTAGTAAACTGAGTTTTCCGTGTAACCTGACGTCTCCAGAGTCCATGATTTTACAGAGCTGTATCTGGTGGATCTAGCATTTGCTTCTGTCAAGTTGCGCCTTAGCTTGACAAACACAACACCGCCTGAGCTCTGCAAGTGCAGCATTTTTCCAAATGACGCAGGGAGTGTTTGAGGACCGGGACATCCGTAGGGAGACCCAAGGGGCTTGTTGATAAAGCTATTCTCCTCCCAACCCTGCTCTATGCCTGCAAAACGTGGACTGTCTACAGACGTCCATAAAAGTCAACATTGACACTGAAAGACAACACCGACTGAGCTCTGTGAGTGCAGCATTTTTCCGAATGAAGCAGAGAGTGTTTGAGGATCGGGACATCCATAAGGATACCAAGGTGCTTTTTTATAAAGCTATTCCCCTCTCAACCCTGCTATACGCCTGCGAGATGTGGATTGTCTATAGAAGTCACATTCAACTCCTGGAACGATTCCATCAGCGCTGGAATATCCTGCAAATCTCTTGGGAAGAAGACAGGTGGACAAACATCAGCGTGCTGGAAGAAGCAAAGACCACCAGCATTGAAGCGATGCTCCTCCGCCATCAACTCTGCTGCACCAGTCACATTGTCCGGATGCCTGACCACCGTCTCCGAAAGCAGTTGCTCTACTCCAAACTCAAGAACGGAAAACAGAATGTTGGTGGACAGGAAAAGAGATTGAAAGACGGGCTCAAAGCCAACCTTAAAAACTCTGGCATAGACACTGAGAACTGGGAAGCCCAGGCCCTTGAGCGGATTACCTAAGTAAAGTAAGTAAGTCCCCCCTCTAAGATCTATAGAGACACTCGCTGGAACACCCCAGCAAGCGAGAGTCCAAAAGTGGCAGGCTCAAACCCAGCACCTCCATCCATGGCTGATACCCAATGAGAGACTCAAAAACAGCAGCAAGTTTCAGCTTGAAAAACAAACGAAAGCAATAATCCGGGAGAAATTACACTGCTTAGCCGGTATTGCACCATCTGACATCCGCCGGGAAGTAGCAGCCAATAGTGAAAGGACCAAGGCAGAGACATCTCCAGCTCATCCCCTGTTTGGGTATCAGCCAGCACGTCAACGACTTAAATCAAGAAATAGTTTTCTAAGATCTACATAGACACTCGCTGGAACACCTCAGCAAGCAAGAGTCCAAAAGTGGCAGGCTCAAACCCAGAACCTCAACCAATGGCTGATACCAAATGAGAGACTCCCCCCTGGGCACACAGAAGACTGGGCGACTTGGAAGGCGCTGAACAGACTGCGCTCTGGCACCACAAGATGCAGAGCCGATCTGAAGAAATGAGGCCACAAAGTGGAGTCCTCGACATGCGAGTGCAGAGAAAAGCAAACCACTGACCACCTGCTGCAATGCCCCCTGAGCCCTGCCATATGATGCACAAGGGAGGACCTTCTTGAGGCAACACCAGAGGCACTCCAAGGGGACAGATACTGGGCAAAGGACATTTAATCAACTACCAAGCTTGCAAACTTTGTGTTTTGTCTGTTTGTTTTGTTAAAAATGTAATACAAATGTCTGGTTGCTCCTGAACCAATAAATAAATAAAGAAAGAAAGAAAGAAAGAAGGGAGAGATGTCTGCAGAGAAATGTGCTTTTGAGGCTATACAGTGGTTCTCAACCTTCCTAACGCCACAACCTCTTAATACAGTTCCTCATGTTGTGGTGACCCCCAACCAAAAAATTATTTTTGCTGCTACTTCATAATTATCATTTTGTATGCGAGTGCGGAGAGGAGCCAACCACTGAGCACCTGCTGCAATGCACCCTGAGCCCTTCTTCCACATGATGCACGATGGAGGACCTCCTTGCGGCAACACCAGAGGCACTCCAAGGGGACAGAGACTGGGCAAAGGTCATCTAATCAACTACCAAGCTTGCAAAATCTGTGTCTTTTGTATGTATGTTTGTTTGTTCTGTCAAAAACGTTCTGTCAAAAACGTAATACAACTATTCGGTTGCCTGACATGATAAATAAATAAATAAATAAATATCTCTGCTTTTTTTTTTATTTATTTATTTGTCGTGTCAGAGCAGCCAGTCCATTATATTACATTTCTAACAGAGCAAAACAAACAAACAGAAAAATACACAACTTGTGAGTTTGGTAGTTGGTTAAATGTCCTTTGCCCAGTCTCTGTCCCCTTGGAGTGCTGCCTCTGGTGTTGCTGCAAGAAGGTCCTCCCTGGTGCATCATGTGGAAGGAGGGCTCAGGGTGCATTGCAGCAGGGGGTCAGTGGTTGGCTCTTCTCCACACTCTGCTGTAAATACTAAGCTGTGATATCTCTGCTGTAAATACTGAGTAACCTAGGGGAGAGGGGCTCCTCCCTCCCTCCCTCCCTCCCGTCGGCCCCTCGCCCACCCACCTGCTTCCTCGGGGGAGCTCCCGGCGGGGCTTCCCTGGCTGAGGGTGGCCCAGCTGGAGTCCTCGTCGCTGCCGGCCGCGTTGCGCATCCCGAAGAGGAGGCTGGCGCTGCGGCCTTGCTCCCCGCCGTTCCCCCGCGGCACCGCGGCCCGCTCCGAGCTGTGCTCCTCCGACTCTGTGGCAGCCTCGCTCTGCACCGGCGTGGAGTCTTCCTCCTCCTCCTCCTCTTCCTCTTCCTCCTCTTCTTCTTCCTCCTCGTCTTCGTCCTTCTCTTTCTCTTCCTCCTCCTCCTCCTCCTCCTCTCCCGCCATCAGGAGGGCGTTGAGCGTCTTGGGGGGCAGCAGCAGTGGGGGGCTGACCTCGTTGCGGTTCTGGTCGCGGCCCCGCTCCGCCGCCTGCCGCAGCTGGTTCTGCCCGTCCTTCACCCACTTGCTGTTGGCCGGAGGGGGCTCCTCCAGGGTGGAGGGGGCCGAGGGTGGGGCCAGCACCACCCCCTGCAAGTCGGAGGAGGAAGACGAGGAGGAGGGGGGAGGGGGGCCCTTGTGGGGCAGGGCGGGCTCCAGCCCGGAGAGGCTCAGCCCCAGGCAGACGTTGTCGTTGGCCAGGTCGCCACGCTTGCTCACCGAGCTGGACATGGCTCCTGCTGAGGAGGAAATAATACGATTAACATCCAGGACCAATGCTATTGGGGTGTCGTGTGGTTTCCACACAGCCCGGAAATGACACAACAACACCCCAGTGATTCCAGACATTAAAGCCTTCAGCAATACACAAATGCTATTTCTTACAAGCAAACCAAGGGATAATACAGTTAAAAGGGCTGGGCTGTAGCACAGCTGGTTAACCTCTAACAGCAGTAAATCACTGCTGATCAAACTGTGGCAACTTCAAAGCCCAAGTCAAGTTTGAGCTCCAGACTGTTAATAGCCCTGCTTACTGTCCACCTAAACAGCTGAGATGTGGTCAGCTAATCAAGGCGGTCAATCGAAACATTCCCACCTTGCTCCAGCAGACAAGAGTCCTTTGTCCCACCCTGTTCATTCCACAGATATATAAACCCCTTTTCCTAGTTCCAACAGACCTCACTACCTCTGAGGATGCTTGCCATAGATGCAGGCGAAACGTCAGGAGAGAATGCCTCTAGAACATGGCCATATAGCCCAAAAAATCCTACAACAACCCATTCACACCTAGCTCCAGCAGACAAGAGTCCTTTGTCCCACCCTGGTCATTCCACAGATATATAAACCCCTTTTCCTAGTTCCAACAGACCTCACTACCTCTGAGGATGCTTGCCATAGATGCAGGCGAAACGTCAGGAGAGAATGCCTCTAGAACATGGCCATATAGCCCAAAAAATCCTACAACAACCCATTCACACCTAGCTCCAGCAGACAAGAGTCCTTTGTCCCACCCTGGTCATTCCACAGATATATAAACCCCTTTTCCTAGTTCCAACAGACCTCACTACCTCTGAGGATGCTTGCCATAGATGCAGGCGAAACGTCAGGAGAGAATGCCTCTAGAACATGGCCATATAGCCCAAAAAATCCTACAACAACCCATTCACACCTAGCTCCAGCAGACAAGAGTCCTTTGTCCCACCCTGGTCATTCCACAGATATATAAACCCTTTTCCTAGTTCCAACAGACCTCACTACCTCTGAGGATGCTTGCCATAGATGCAGGCGAAACGTCAGGAGAGAATGCCTCTAGAACATGGCCATATAGCCCAAAAAACCTACAACAACCCATTCACACCTAGCTCCAGCAGACAAGAGTCCTTTGTCCCACCCTGGTCATTCCACAGATATATAAACCCATTTTCCTAGTTCCAACAGACCTCACTACCTCTGAGGATGCTTGCCATAGATGCAGGCGAAACGTCAGGAGAGAATGCCTCTAGAACATGGCCATATAGCCCGGAAAAACCTACAACCCAGCTGAGATGTGAGAAGAGGAAACAGGAACTGCTTAAAAGTGAGGAGGTTAATTTATGACACCATAGATCAAAGAGCAAGAAGGAACATAGGCTCGGCCTCATAGTAAATGAAGCAACAGCTCCCCACTGTGGCCAGAATCGAGCATAACCTCCAGGAGCCGAATCTGGAAAAAATGCTGAATTACCTCTATCTGTCTGCCTGTCTTATACGTCTAAAAGGTGCACATTACAATAAACAAAAACATTAGAGAAGGCAAAGGCAAACTTTGGCTCTTCCTCCAGGTATTTTGGACTTCAACTCCCACAATTCCTAACAGCCTACTGGCTGTTAGGAATTGTGGGAGTTGAAGTCCAAAATACCTGGAGGAAGGGCCAAAGTTTGCCCGTGCCTGTGTTCGAGAAACAAAGCTTCCAGGAGTGGAAAAGGAAACCTTGGGGTGCATCAATGCTGCAGAATGAATCCTCTCCAATTGCCTTGGTTCAATGCTACGGATTCATGTGGGCTGTTGTTTGGGGATCATGTGGGCTTCTCAAGAATGCTGATGCCTCATCAAACTACAAGTCCCAGGATCACATAGCATTGAACCGTGGAGCTCCTGAACCTTTTGCTTTGGCTCAGCATTAGGATGAATGCATGATGTGAATCTAATGCACACCCTGATTTTGGGCAGGTCATTTAGCAAAAAAAGGCGAGCATTAGATTTGAGTAAACACACACACACATACATAGACACTGTGTATTTACTAATATGTGAACCAAATTTTGGCCAGGTCATTTAGCGAAAAAAGATGAGCATTAGATTTGAGTAAATACAGGATGTGTGTGTATGTATGTATGTATGTATGTATGTATGTATATTATACACACATACATACATAGACACTGTGTATTTACTAATATGTGAACCAAATTTTGGCCAGGTCATTTAGCGAAAAAAGATGAGCATTAGATTTGAGTAAATACAGGATGTGTATGTTAGCAAAAAAAAGAGTGAGGATTAGATTCGAGTAAATACAGAGTGTGTATGTATGTATGTATGTATATTATACACACATACATACATACACACTCTGTATTTACTAATATGTGAAAAGAATTTTTGGCCAGGTCATTTAGCAAAAAAAGATGAACATTAGATTTGAGCAAATACAGGGTGTGTATGTTAGCAAAAAAAGAGTGAGGATTATATTTGAGTAAATACGGAGTGTGTATGTATGTATGTATATTATACACACATACATACATAGACACCCTGCATTTACTAATATGTGAACCAAATTTTGGGCAGGTCATTTAGTGAAAAAATATGAGCGTTAGATTTGAGCAAATACAGGGTGTGTATGTTAGCAAAACAAGGGTGAGCATTAGATTCGAGTAACTACGGAGTGTGTATGTATGTATGTATGTATACTATACACACATACATACATAGACACTGTGTATTTACTAATATGTGAAAAGAATTTTTGGCCAGGTCATTTAGTGAAAAAATATGAGCGTTAGATTTGAGCAAATACAGGGTGTGTATGTTAGCAAAACAAGGGTGAGCATTAGATTCGAGTAAATACGGAGTGTGTATGTATGTATGTATATTATACACACATACATACATAGACACTGTGTATTTACTAATATGTGAACCAAATTTTGGCCAGGTCATTTAGTGAAAAAATATGAGCGTTAGATTTGAGCAAATACAGGGTGTGTATGTTAGCAAAACAAGGGTGAGCATTAGATTCGAGTAAATACAGAGTGTGTATGTATGTATGTATATTATACACACATACATACATAGACACCCTGCATTTACTAATATGTGAACCAAATTTTGGGCAGGTCATTTAGTGAAAAAATATGAGCGTTAGATTTGAGCAAATACAGGGTGTGTATGTTAGCAAAACAAGGGTGAGCATTAGATTCGAGTAAATACGAAGTGTGTATGTGTGTATGTATATTATACACACATACATACATAGACACTGTGTATTTACTAATATGTGAAAAGAATTTTTGGCCAGGTCATTTAGCAAAAAAATATGAGCGTTAGATTTGAGCAAATACAGGGTGTGTATGTTAGCAAAACAAGGGTGAGCATTAGATTCGAGTAAATACGGAGTGTGTATGTATGTATGTATATTATACACACATACATACATAGACACTGTGTATTTACTAATATGTGAAAAGAATTTTTGGCCAGGTCATTTAGCAAAAAAATATGAGCGTTAGATTTGAGCAAATACAGGGTGTGTTTGTTAGCAAAAAAAGAGTGAGGATTAGATTTGAGTAAATACGGAGTGTGTATGTATGTATATTATACACACATACATACATAGACACTGTGTATTTACTAATATGTGAAAAGAATTTTTGGCCAGGTCATTTAGTGAAAAAATATGAGCGTTAGATTTGAGCAAATACAGGGTGTGTATGTTAGCAAAACAAGGGTGAGCATTAGATTCGAGTAAATACGGAGTGTGTATGTATGTATATTATATACAAATACATACATAGACACCCTGTATTTACTAATATATGAACCTAATTTTTGGCCAGGTCACTGCCAGCTTTGAAATTTTATGGATGGTCAGGCAGCTAAGCTGGTAGGTAGATTTTTACTAAGCCCATTTAAGTACAATAGACTCTCAGTTAAATTATTATTATTATTATTATTATTATTATTATTATTATTATCATCATTATTATTATTATTGCCACCATACTACAAACTGTGATGACTTGGTATTAATGTCTAAATACAGTAATCAAAAGCAAATTAAGACAAAGAAAGGCAAACTTAACTTAATGTGACACAGTTATATTCTATACTACTACTACTACTACTAGTAGTAGTAGTAGTAGTAGTACTACTACTACTACTATTATTATTATTATGTGACACAATCACATTCTTCTACAGTATTATAAAAACACCTTTTTTGAAATCTAAAGTATTATTTTTGTTGTGCTTGAGTTCCGGTTCACTGAGTTTACTGGATTAAGACTCGGAGATTGACAAATAATAATAATAATAATAATAATAATAATAATAATAATAATAATAATAATACGTGTTATGTGTTACTGGCATCTCCTCACTGCTCAAAGGCAGGGCATGACACAGTTAAAATACGATCAAATGCAGATATTAAAAGACATACAAGTTTATAAACATGCATGCCAATAGGGCTCAACATTATGTAACAACAACAACAACAACAACAACAACAACCCTCTCATTGCGCAGAGGCTGTCCCTCTGCACATGCTCAATGCCACCTTTGACATATGAGCTGCCCTTCTGCCTCAAATGACCCCTTGCCCCCCCCTCCAACGTCTCACCTGGTGAAAGGGCGGGCGGTCAAGCGGTCAGTGGTCAGCAGGGAGGGTGGCCGAGGAAGAAGCCACTACATCCTTTGGAATGGGAGGGGGGCCTGCAGGGAGTGAAGCAGAGGGAGGGGGTTACATCATCATCATCACCATCATCATTATTATTATTAAGGTTTATCATTACTATTATTATATTGATCACTACCCTGCTGGGATACCAAAGGGGAGAATGTTGGCAGGTGGAGTGCAACACCATCCAAAGACATCGCTTGGGCCCTCCCTCCCTCCAAGTGTTTTGGACTGCAACTCCCACCATTCCTCACAGCCTCAGGCCTTTTCCCTTTCCTTTTCCGCTTAAGCGGAGGCTGTGAGGAATGGTGGGAGTTGCAGTCCAAAACACTTAGAAGGCCCATACCTAGGTTAATGCCCATGGAAATCCCACACAGCCTTTGGGGGGCATGCAATGTGCGCTTTGTTGCTGTGCATGCATGCTCTTCACGGGCTGGCCTCTTACTACAAATGATTAGATCGGGCTGAGAACAGTGGTATATAAGTAAGGTAAATAAATAAATAAAATAAATAAATTAGTGGGGGGGGGGTCAGTACTCCATACCTGCAGACCAGGTAAACCCCCAAATCCGCCTCCTTATGCCTCTTCCCTCTCAAGCCATAACAGTGCAGTTGCAAGACCATGGTGCACACTCTATTAAAATCCCCATAAAGTATTTTAATGCCCCTCCAATAACAATAATAGCAAAAGAGTGCAATTGCAAAACTCAGAACATTGTGCAATAACAATAACATGTCCCCCAATAATAATAATAATAGCAAAAGAGTGCAATTGCAAAACTCAGAACATTGTGCAATAACAATAACATGTCCCCCAATAATAATAATAATAGCAAAAGAGTGCAATTGCAAAACTCAGAACATTGTGCAATAACAATAACATGTCCCCCAATATTAATAATAATAATAATAATAATAATAATAATAATAGCAAAAGAGTGCAATTGCAAAACTCAGAACATTGTGCAATAACAATAACATGTCCCCCAATAATAATAATAATAATAATAATAATAATAATAGCAAAAGAGTGCAATTGCAAAACTCAGAACATTGTGCAATAACAATAACATGTCCCCCAATAACAATAATAATAATAATAATAATAATAATAGCAAAATAGTGCAATTGCAAAACTCAGAACATTGTGCAATAACAATAACATGTCCCCCAATAACAATAATAATAATAATAATAATAATAATAGCAAAAGAGTGCAATTGCAAAACTCAGAACATTGTGCAATAACAATAACATGTCCCCCAATAATAATAATAATAATAATAATAATAATAATAGCAAAAGAGTGCAATTGCAAAACTCAGAACATTGTGCAATAACAATAACATGTCCCCCAATAATAATAATAATAATAATAATAATAGCAAAATAGTGCAATTGCAAAACTCAGAACATTGTGCAATAACAATAACATGTCCCCCAATATTAATAATAATAATAATAATAATAATAATAATAGCAAAAGAGTGAAATTGCAAAACTCAGAACATTGTGCAATAACAATAACATGTCCCCCAATAATAATAATAATAATAATAATAATAATAATAATAATAGCAAAAGAGTGCAATTGCAAAACCCAGGACATGGTGCAATAACAATAACCATGTCCCCCAATAATAATAATAATAATAATAATAATAATAATAATAATAATAGCCAGAGTGCAATTGCAAAACTCAGAACATTGTGAACTAACAATAAAATGCCCCCAATAATAATAACAGCAAAAGAGTGCAATTGCAAAACTCAGAACATTGTGGAATAATAATAATAATAATAATAGCAAAAGAGTGCAATTGCAAAACCCAGGACATGTTGCAATAACAATAACCATGTCCCCCAATAACAATAATAATAATAATAATAATAATAATAATAATAATAATAGCCAGAGTGCAATTGCAAAACTCAGAACATTGTGAACTAACAATAAAATGCCCCCAATAATAATAACAGCAAAAGAGTGCAATTGCAAAACTCAGAACATTGTGGAATAACAATAATAATAATAATAGCAAAAGAGTGCAATTGCAAAACCCAGAACATGGTGCAATAACAATAACATGCCCCCCAATAACAATAATAATAATAGCAAAAGAGTGCAATTGCAAAACCCAGGACATGGTGAAATAACAATAATATGCCCCCAATAACAAGAATAACAATAGCAAAATATGCAATTGCAAAGCCCAGAACATGGTGCAATAACAGTAACATGCCCCCAATAACAATAATAATAGCAAAAGAGTGCAATTGTAAAACCCAGAACATGGTGGAATAACAATAACAGGACGGCGGTCCCTCCGAATTGAAAGTGGTGCTGCTGAACGCCAGATCTGTCAACGGTAAAACAACCTTCATCCAGGATTTAATCCTGGATGAACGGGCAGATCTGGCATGCATCACAGAGACCTGGTTGGACGAAGCGGGAGGTGTAAATTTAACCCAGCTTTGCCCACCAGGTTTCTCTGTGCAGCACCAACCGAGATCCGGAGGGCGGGGAGGCGGGGTTGCGGTGGTCTATAGAAATACCATCCCTCTGACCAGGAGCCCCATCCCGCAGTCAACCAATTATGAATGTGTCCACCTGAGGGTAGGTGACCGGGACAGAATAGGGATTCTGTTAATGTACCGTCCACCTCGCTGCACTTCAGTCTCCCTACCTGAGCTAGCTGGGGTGTTCTCGAGCCTGGCGTTTGAGTCCCAAAGGCTCATTGTGCTGGGGGACTTCAACATCCATGCCGAGGCCGCCTTATCGGGAGCGGCTCAGGACTTCATGTCTACCATGGCAACCATGGGGCTGTCCCAACAGGTATCTGGCCCCACCCACAGTGCTGGACATACATTGGACTTGGTTTTCTGCCAGGGATGGGAGGAAGGTGGCGGTGTTGAGGAGTTATCCATCTCTCCGTTGCCATGGACCGACCACCACCTGGTCAGCTTTAGACTCACTGCACCCCCTAACCTCCGCAGAGGTGGAGGACCCATTAAATTGGTCCGCCCCAGGAGGCTTATGGATCCGGATGGATTCCTGATGGCTCTTGGGGAATTTCCCGCCACCTCGGTTGGTGATCCTGTTGATGCTCTGGTCGCTCTCTGGAATGGGGAGATGACTAGGGCAATAGACACGATCGCTCCAGAACGTCCCCTCTCAAGTAGCCGAGCTAAACCAGCTCCTTGGTTCACCGAGGAGCTGGCAGCGTTGAAGCGAAAGAAGAGGGAACTAGAGAGCGTGTGGCGTTCGGATCCGAGCGAGTCAAATCGAACACGGTTTGTGTCCTTTTTCAGGGCATATGCCGTGGCAATAAAAGCCGCAAAGAAAACTTTCTTTGCGGCCACTATTGCGTCTGCAAAGAATCCGGCCGAACTGTTCCGAGTTGTCAGAGGCCTATTAAAACCCGCCACGCAGGATGGGTGCCCTGATGACTCGGCAGCTCGCTGCGAAGCCTTTGCTCGGTTCTTCGCAGACAAAGTCGCTTTGATCCGCTCTGGACTGGATACCATATTAACGGCAGTATCTGAGGATGTAACACGAGCATCTGCTTGTCCGGTTTTGATGGATTCATTTCAATTGGTTCAATCTGAGGATGTGGACAAGGTGCTTGGAGGAATGAGAGCTACCACATGCATCCCAGACCCCTGCCCATCCTGGCTTCTGAAGGAGGCCAGAGGGGGATTGGCCGAGTGGGTGAAGGTGGTGGTTAATGCCTCCCTTCGGGAGGGCAAAATTCCAGCCAGCTTAAAGCAAGCTGTGATAAAACCGCTGTTGAAAAAACCATCACTGGACCCCACTCAATTCGTCAACTATCGGCCTGTTTCCAATCTCCCCTTTTTGGGCAAAGTCATGGAACGTGTGGTGGCCTCACAACTCCAGGCATTCTTGGTAGACATGGATTATCTGGACCCGGCACAGTCTGGCTTTAGACCGGGGCATGGTACCGAGACAGCTTTGGTCGCCTTAGTGGATGATCTGCGTCGGGAGCTCGACAGGGGGAGTGTGTCCCTGTTGGTGCTGCTCGACCTCTCAGCGGCCTTCGATACCGTCGACCACGGTATCCTTCTGGGACGCCTCGCGGGGATGGGTCTTGGAGGTACTGTTCTGCAGTGGCTCCGCTCATTCCTCGAGGGTCGGTCTCAGAAGGTGTTACTGGGAGACTCCTGTTCTACTCCACAGCCTTTGTCCTGTGGAGTTCCTCAGGGTTCAATACTGTCTCCCATGTTGTTTAACATCTACATGAAGCCGCTGGGCGAGATCATCCGGAGTGCGATGTCATCTGTACGCAGATGATGTCCAACTCTGTCACTCCTTCCCACCTGCTACTAAGGAGGCTGTCGAGGTCCTGAACCGGTGCTTGGCCGCTGTGACGGTATGGATGGGGGCCAACAAATTGAAATTGAATCCAGACAAGACAGAGGTACTCCTGGTTAGTCGCAAGGCCGAACAGGGTATAGGGTTACAGCCTGTGTTAGACGGGGTCGCACTCCCCCTGAAGACGCAGGTTCGCAGTTTGGGTGTGACCCTGGACTCATCGCTGAGCCTGGAACCCCAGGTTTCGGCGGTGACCAGGGGAGCATTCGCACAGTTAAAACTTGTGCGCCAACTGCGACCGTACCTTGGGAAGTCTGACTTGGCCACGGTAGTCCACGCTCTGGTTACATCCCGTCTTGACTACTGCAACGCTCTCTACGTGGGGTTGCCTTTGAAGACGGCTCGGAAGCTCCAATTAGTCCAACGGCGGCAGCCATGATACTAACAGGAGCGGGGCGCAGGGAGCATACAACTCCTCTGCTGCACCAGCTCCACTGGCTGCCGATATGCTACCGGGCTCAATTCAAAGTGCTGGCGTTAGCCTTTAAAGCCCTAAACGGTTCTGGCCCAACTTATCTATCCGAACGTATCTCAGCCTATCAGCCCACCAGGACCCTAAGATCTTCTGGAGAGTCCCTGCTCTCTATCCCGCCGGCTTCACAAGTGCGGCTGGCGGGAACGAGAGACAGGGCCTTTTCTGTGGTGGCCCCTCGGCTTTGGAACACCCTCCCTATAGAGGTACGATCAGCCTCCTCGCTGATGGTGTTTCGGAAGAGATTAAAAACATGGATGTTTAAACAAGCATTCGGTTAATCCGTTGCAACGAATTTTGATGACTAAAGGACTGGCAATCATGGACGACGAATTTTGGATTGTGATTTTAGTTACGAGATGCATGGGATTATTATTGGTGGCCCAATAATTTGTATTGTATATGTGTTTTATGTTTTAAATTGAATATTGTTTTTAACTGTTGTAAACCGCAATGAGTCGCCGACTTAGGCTGAGATATTAGCGGTATACAAGCATATAAATAAATAATAAATAATAACATGCTCTCCCCATAACAAGAATAACAATAGCAAAATATGCAATTGCAAAACCCAGAATATGATGCAATAACAGTAACATGCCTCCAATAACAATAATAGCAAAAGTGTCATTGCAAAACTCAGAACATGATGAACACACTATTAAAATCTTCCTAAAAGATGTTAATGCCCCCCAATAACAATAACAATAGCAAAATAGAGCAATTGAAAAACCCAAAACTTTGTACAATAGCAATAACATGCCCCCCTTCAATAGCAATAATAATAGCAAAAGAGTGCAATTGCAAAACCCAGGCCATGATGCACATACGATTAAACTCCCTATAATATAAAGGATTGTCATGCCCTTCCAATAACAATAATAGCAAAAGAGTGCAATTGCAAAACCCTGAACATGGCGCAATAGCAATAACATGCCCCCCTTCAATAACAATAATAATAGCAAAAGAGTGCAATTGCAAAACCCAGGCCATGATACATGCACTATTAAACTCCCTATAATATAAAGGATAGTCATGCCCTTCCAATAACAAGAATAGCAAAAAACAGTGCAAATTGCAAATCCCAGGACGTGATGCAATAACAATAACATGCTTCCCCCCCCCAAATAAATAATAATAATCATAATAATAATTGCCAAAGAGTGCAATTGCAAAACCTGGACATGATGCACACGCGATTAAACTCCCTATAGTATAAAGGATTGTCATGCCCTTCCAATATCAATAATAGCAAAACAGTGCAAATTGCAAAACCCAGGACGTGATGCAATAACAATAACATGCTCCCCCCTATTAATAATAATAATAATAATAATTGCCAAAGGGTGCAATTGCCAAACCCTGGGCATGATGCACACACGATTAAACTCCCTATAAAGGATTGCAATGCCCCTCTAATAACAGTAATAGCAAAACAGTGCCAATTGCAAAACCCAGGACGTGATGCAATAACAATAACATGCTCCCCCTAATAATAATAATAATAATAATAATAATAATTGCCAAAGGGTGAAATTGCAAAACCTGGACATGATGCACACGCGATTAAACTCCCTATAGTATAAAGGATTGTCATGCCCTTCCAATATCAATAATAGCAAAACAGTGCAAATTGCAAATCCCAGGACGTGATGCAATAACAATAACATGCTCCCCCCTATTAATAATAATAATAATAATAATAATAATAATAATAATAATTGCCAAAGGGTGAAATTGCCAAAACCTGGACATGATGCACACACGATTAAACTCCCTATAAAGGATTGCAATGCCCCTCTAATAACAGTAATAGCAAAACAGTGCCAATTGCAAAACCCAGGACGTGATGCAATAACAATAACATGCTCCCCCTAATAATAATAATAATAATAATAATAATTGCCAAAGGGTGAAATTGCCAAACCCTGGGCATGATGCACACACGATTAAACTCCCTATAAAGGATTGCAATGCCCCTCTAATAACAGTAATAGCAAAAGAGTGCCAATTGCAAAACCCAGGACGTGATGCAATAACAATAACATGCTCCCCCTAATAATAATAATAATAATAATAATAATTGCCAAAGGGTGAAATTGCCAAACCCTGGGCATGATGCACACACTATTAAACTCCCTATTACAAAAAGAATCTGCTGGGAAGAGGGCCTTGCAGCTGCCTAACCCCCCCCCCCCCCCCAATCTCCTCCCTTTCAAAGGACCCCCAAAGGGGAGGGGGGGGTCTTCTTTCTCCCTCCCCCCTCCCAAAGGGAATCCCCTTGCACTCACCCCCTCCTCCCCCCCGGTTTGGAGTGTGCAAGGCTGGCAACCGTGGCAACCCCGTGGGTACCTGCAGGATGGAGGGATGGAGGGAGGGATGGAGGGAGGGAGGAGCGGGGGGGGGGGGCAGAGAGAGAGAGAGAGAGCGTCGCTTCCGCTTCCGAGGCTGGCAGCCCCTCCCTGCAGGAGCAGAATTGGGCGGGGGGAGCGGGAGGTGGTGCAAAAAGAGGCACCCCCCCCTCTCTCTCTCTCTCTCTTTTGGGCGCCCCCACCCCCTTGGCAGAGGGGCCAAGGGGGACCCCAGGGGGCATCCAGCCGGGCCCAGGAAGGGAGGAAGGAATTGGAGAAGGAAAGAGGGAGGAGGGAAAGGAAGGAAGGAAGAATGGAGAGAAGGGAATGGAAGAAGGAAGGAAGGAAGGAAAGAAGGGAAGAGAAGGAAGGGTGGAGAGAACGGAAGGAGTGGAAGAAGGAAGGGAGGGAGGAAAAGAATAGAAGGAGGAAAGGGAAAGGAAGAAGGAAGGAAGGATGGATGGATGAAGAGAATGGAATGGAAAAGAGAAGGAAGGGAAAAAAAAGAAAGGAAGGGGAAAAAGAAGGAAAGAGAAGGAAGGGTGGAGAGAAGCGAAGGAGGGAAGAAGGGAAGGAAGAGGGAGGGAAAAGAAGAAGGAGAGAGAAGGAAGGAGGAAGGGAGAAAGGAAAGAAGAAGAAAGGGAAAGGAGAGAGAAGAAAGAGGAAAAAAGGAAGAGAGAAGAAGGATGGAGAGAAAGAAAGGAGGGAAAGGGAGGAAGGAAAGAGAAGAAGGAAGGAAGGAAGGAAAAAAGGAAAGAGAAGGAAGGATGGAGAGAAAGAAAGGAATGGGAGAAGGGAGGAAGGAAAGTAATAGAAGAAGGAAGGAATTAGAGAAGGAAAAAAGGAAAAAGAAGGAAGGATGGAGAGAAAGAAAGGAATGGGAGAAGGGAGGAAGGAAAGTAATAGAAGAAGGAAGGAAAGAAGGAAAAGGAAAAAGAAGGAAGGAGAGAAAGAAGGGAGGGAGGAAAGGAAGAAGGAAGGAAGGAAGGGAGAGAGGAGAGAAGGAAAGGGAAGAAAGGAAGAAAAGGAAGGAGAGAGGAAGGAAAGAGAAGGAAGGAAGAGAAAGAAAGGAATGGAAGAAGGGAGGAAGGAAGGAAGGAAGGAAGAAAAAAGGAAGGAAGAAGGAAGGAAGTTAGAGAAGGAAAAAAGGAAAGAGAGAAGTAAGGATAGAAGGAAAGCAAAGGAAGGATGGAAAGAAGGTAGGGAAAGGAAGAAGGAAGGAAGAGAAAGATGAAAGGAAAGAGAAGGAAGGAAGGCGAGAGGAAAATACAGAGTGAAGGAAAGAAAAGGAAGGAAAGAGAAAGAAGAAATTAATGAATTAGAAAAGACAAGAGAAGGAAAAAAAGGAAAGAGAAGGAAGGAATGGAAGAAGGAAGGATGTAGAGAAGGGAAAGAGTGGAAGAAAGGAGGGAGGGAAAGGAAGGGAAGAAGGAAGGAAGGAAGGAAAAAAGGAAGAGAAAGGAAGAGAGAATGAAAGAGAAGGACAAAAGGAAAGAGAAGGAAGGCAAGAAAGAAATTGAGAATGAAGGAAAGAGAAGAAGGGAGAAAGAAGGAAGGAAAAAATGGGAGAAGGAAGAACAATCATACCTTGTAGATAACCCGCCCTCTCTCTCTCTCTCTCTCTCTCTCTGAAACTATGTCTCCAAGGCTGGCCAAAGAGTAACAAAGTAAGCATACGTAACCATCATACAACCTAATACAATGTATCAAACACTTTTAACCACATGATACAATATACCTTAATGGCAACTCAGCCCCCTGACCCTGGCACTTTCCCTGGCCTCTCCCCAGGAATCACAGAATCCAAGAGTTGGAAGAGACCTCATGGGCCATCCAGTCCAACCCCATTCTGCCAAGAAGCAGGAATATTGCATTCAAAGCACCCCTGACAGATGGCCATCCAGCCTCTGCTTAAAAGCTTCCAAAGAAGGAGCCTCCACCACACTCCGGGGCAGAGAGTTCCACTGCTGAACGGCTCTCACAGTCAGGAAGTTCTTCCTCATGTTCAGATGGAATCTCCTCTGTTGAAGTTTGAAGCCATTGTTTCGCGTCCTAGTCTCCAAGGAAGCAGAAAACAAGCTTGCTCCCTCCTCCCTGTGACTTCCTCTCACATATTTATACATGGCTATCATGTCTCCTCTCAGCCTTCTCTTCTTCAGGCTAAACATGCCCAGCTCCTTAAGCCGCTCCTCATAGGGCTTGTTCTCCAGACCCTTGATCATTTTAGTCGCCCTCCTCTGGACAGATTCCAGCTTGTCAATATCTCTCTTGAATTGTGGTGCCCAGAATTGGACACAATATTCCAGGTGTGGTCTAACCAAAGCGGAATAGAGCATGGGGAGCAGAACTTCCCTAGATCTAGACACTATGCTCCTCTTGATGCAGACCAAAATCCCATTGGCTTTTTTTGCCACCACATCACATTCCTGGCTCATGTTTAACTTCCTCCCCACGAGGACTCCAAGATCTTTTTCACACGTACTGCTCTCGAGCCAGGCATCATCGTCCCCCATTCTGTATCTTTGCATTTCGTTTTTCCTGCCTAAGTGGAGTATCTTGCATTTGTCCCTGTTGAACTTCATTTTGTTAGTTTTGGCCATCATCTCTCTAATCTGTCAAGATCGTTTTGAATCCTGCTCCTGTCCTCTGGAGTCTTGGCTCTCCCTCCCAATTTGGTGTCATCTGCAAACTTGATGATCCTGCCTTCTAGCCCTTCATCTAAGTCATTAATAAAGATCCTGATCAGGACCGGGCCCAGGACGGAACCCTGTTGTTATTTGATTGATTGTATTTTACTGTGTCTGTTTTCACTTGTAATCCTTGGACTTCTCCCTCTTTAAGCCACCCCAATTCCTTTCGGAGAGATGGAGGCGGGTTATAAAAATAACATTATTATTACCATCATCATCATCAGTTATGCTAAAAAGGCATTAAAATATGAAATGGTTTAGACCAGGGGGTCCTCAAACTTTTTAAACAGAGGGCCAGGTCACAGTGTCGGGACCCAGACGCCTTAAAGAGCCAGACTCAGGAGTATGTCCAAAAAAATAGTTTATTAATACAAAGTAAAAAGGACTCAGAGACACTTGCTTCAGTGTCCCTGGTCAAAACTCAAAAACAGCAGCAAGTTTCAGCTTGAAAAACAAACTAAAGCAATAATCCACTGGAGAAATTACACTGCTTAGCCGGTATTGCACCACCTGACATCCGCCGGGAAGTAGCAGCCAATAGTGAAAGGACCAAGGCAGAGACTTCTCCAGCTCATCCCCTGTTTGGGTATCAGCCAGCACGTCAACGACTTAAATCAAGAAATAGTTTTCTAAGATCTACAGAGACACTCGCTGGAACACCTCAGCAAGCGAGAGTCCAAAAGTGGCAGGCTCAAACCCAGAACCTCAATCAATGGCTGATACCAAATGAGAGACTCGCCCCTGGGCACACAGAAGACTGGGCAACTTGGAAGGCACTGAACAGGCTGCGCTCTGGCACCACGAGATGCAGAGCCAACCTCAAGAAATGGGGCTACAAAGTGGAATCCTCGACATGCGAGTGTGGAGAAGAGCAAACCACTGACCACCTGCTGCAATGCAACCTGATCCCTGCCACATGCACAATGGAGGACCTTCTTGCAGCAACACCAGAAGCACTCCAAGTGGCCGGATACTGGTCAAAGGACATTTAATCAACTACCAAACTCACAAATTTTGTATTTTTCTATTTGTTTGCTCTGTTCTGTTAGTAATGTGATATAATGGACTGGCTGCTCTGACACGACAAATAAAAAAAAATTTAAAAAAATCCGGATTATCCAGAGAAAGGATCCGGATTAAACTGAATTGCTTCCAAAGTCATACAAAACAACACAGCAAATGAAGGACGAACAAACAAAGATTCATAGTCAAATGAAGTCCAAGGTCGAAGAAAGCCAAGTCCGAAGTTGCGAGGTTCCAAAGTCCACGTAGGCAGTGTCGCCGTCAAAAGCAGTCCGAAGTCAAGGAAGGGGAAATCCGCACTCACGAGAATCCAAGCCGAGTTGAAACACATACAAACGGAAGCAGCAACCTGCAGATCCAGGACCCAATACCAACACGAAATAGGCAGCGACAAAACCCAAGGCACGAAACCAACACTTTGCCTTCTGCAAAGATTCTCCATTTCAGCGCCTACTTTTATCTTACGCCTCATCATCCAAAGAGGAGCTGACCTCCACCCCGCCGTCATCTCTTACAGCTGTCTTTGACTCCACACCTGAAATCCGACGCCTATCCCTCCAACTCCTCCACCTCTTCTCAAGACTTAGCTCTCCCCAAGACTCCTCAGTATCTCCCGACTGCCAATCCCCACCACCAGAAAACCCCGCAAACGTGTCACTAGATGTTGGCTGAGTACATACATCTTGAACCTCTTGCACCTTGGTCCAATCCAGTGTGTCATCCCCATCACTCCCAGACCCATCACTCCCAGAGAAACCCATGAAAGCCTCCTCGTCTGTGGGAACAGTAAGTATATCACATCCCGTCTTGACTACTGCAACGCTCTCTACGTGGGGCTGCCCTTGAAGACGGCCCGGAAGCTTCAGCTAGTCCAGCGCGTGGCAGCCATGTTACTAACGGGAGCGGGACGCAGGGAGCACACAACGCCCTTGTTGTCCCAGCTCCACTGGCTGCCGATCTGCTACCGGGCCCAATTCAAGGTGCTGGTGTTATCCTACAAAGCCCTAAACGGTTCCGGCCCAAAATACCTTTCGGACCGCATCTCGGCCTATGAGCCCACGAGGGCCTTGAGATCATCCGGGGAGGCCCTTCTCTCGATCCGCCCGCCTCACAGGCACGTCTGGCGGGGACGAGAGAGAGGGCCTTCTCGGTGGTGGCCCCCCGGCTGTGGAACGCCCTCCCTGCTGACATCAGACAGGCGCCATCCCTTATGGCTTTTCGTAGGAGCCTAAAGACCTGGCTATTCGGGAAAGCATTTAATTGAGACCCACACGAATCTGGCAATGATATTTGGAACGGACTATGGAT